AGAACTTCCATCCCCCAAAAGTAGAACACCAAATATGAACATCTGGTGAGATTTTGGGGTAACATCTGTGATGTTGACCTAAGACTCACCTGCTCAAAATAGGAAGAGTTATTTTACACGGTCTTGTCTGTTTCTGCCTAACATTTATAAACATTCTAAGAACTTGCAGACTGATCGATGAAGCAGCATAAGCTTCTCCCTATGTACCATGAAAGGCTGATTAAGCTCAGTTCGTGCTGTGAACATTTCAATTCAGGAGTCAGTTTTAGCAAATACTTGTTAAAACAGTATCAGCAGTACTGGCATGGGTAGGAGCAGGATGGTTTCAGCTCAGTGGAGACAGGGAACACAGGAAAAGTCAAAGTCCGTGTCTTCATTGACTCCAGCCAGCCCTTTGCTTTTTCAAGTTGGTATGGAAGGAGCTACCAGAGATGACAGCAGAACACATCATAAGCAGGCACTAACAAGAAGGGCAAGTGCATTTGTCTATTAAAACAGGACTTGTCCACTGAAACTCCTCAACTCAAAGACCAGTTAATTTCCATCTCAATAGAAAGGCAGAAGTCTGCCTGTTCTACACCTCAGGGAGGGACTGAAGTTAGGCCACAGAGATCTGTCACAGAACCATCACATCTGCTAAGTTTTCATCTGTTTCTAAACCACACTGAAAATTTGCTCACACAAAGCAATACAGGTGCATTCTCAGCACTTGGCTTTGGAAGACTGAAAGCACCTGAATGAGGTCAAATGCTCTGGTGTGCCTGTTCCCCTTCCATATGCCCTGGAACCAGGAACCCCACAGGTCTGGCAGTCACCACAGAGGGTGCTTCTAAGCCAGGTAAAAAGGGATTCTCAGCATCCTACAGGAATTCTCCGAGGCCAAGGAAACCAGATCTGTAAGTTGCCCTGTAGTTTCTTGCAACTGCTTTGCAGTTTACTCTCCCTTTCTTCCTGAAGAGGAGGCTGACAACTTGATTCCTGAAAGCACAATTTATAGGCCAGCTTCAAAGCTATAGGTCCCTCTAAGGCTCTGGTTGGGGAATTCACATCAAAGACGATGTGCACATGTTGTTCTGATGCCAGAGAGGATGGTTGGTAGAAATCTCCGTGGATTTGCTACAGTCCCCAGTACAGGGATTAAATTATGCACTGAGGCTGCCTCTGTAAACTGCAGGAGACAAAGAGAATAAGTGGCAGTGCAATATCTCATAATCAAAGCCTGGCACAGCTCTTTGCATCAGTCTCTTGGAAGCTGTCAGGGGATTAAGAGAAGGGACCATGTGTCAAGGCACCCTCAACTGAAGGGACAGAGCAAAAGTTGGTTTTGTTTGCTTTTAAGCCCATCACCTCTGCACTTTTCCTGAGAAAAATATCTTCGTGCAAGAGGTGTACAGCACTGTGATGGGAGGTGAGTTTCCTTAGTTTTTGCACAGCGTTAAAGAAACACAATACTTGGTGATTTAACCCATTTGAATTAGTTTTGATGTGCAGGTGCAGAAGGAGCTCACACTTAACAGTTTGTGCTATTATCCATCCAAACCCAGTACCATTTATGGTGCCCATATGAGGATCCAGTGAAGAAAAATTAAAAGGCAAGACTGAAAAGAACTTTAGATGCTGTCTAAGAAAAAAGCACAGCAACTGGCAATAGGAAAGACAATTGTGATGCTACCAAAACACTACCCTGATGTCATCATTGATTTTCCTTCATCCACTATTGCCATCAACATCCCACTCCCTTCTTTAATTCTTTCACAAGGTATTTTTTGTACTGGGACAAAAAACATTCTCATTTCCCAGCTATTCCTTCTTACCTTCTCCAGTACAATTTAAACCAAGTCCTTTCACAGAAGCATTTTGCTTCTGTCCAAGTCTATGCATTTGAGCTCTTTGCATCTTTTTACTGCCTCTCATTTCCCACCACCAGGCTGCTCTCCACCCTCACCTTCAGCCTCTTACTTACACCTGGCTTGCAGATACGTTACTGCCATTATTTTCTAGAATCTCACTACTCACCTTTGATTTCTTAATCTCTTCCTTCTTTTAGTGCTTCCTTATGCTACAGCTCCTGGTAAGAGGATTCAAGAAAACACCATTGTCCTTCAAGCTTATATCTGGTAACACAATTTCAGCAACAGCTGCTCCGAAAATTCTAATTCTGTTCTCTTTGGAGGCTGTTTTCCATTCTCTGTAAGGCAACCAGGAGCACTGGCATGTAAATAACAAGTCAACAGTGCTCAAATGTGCATATACTTTCTATATCCGCTTACTTTTTACACATATTCAAGACTTTCTGGTTTTATTTACTTTATAATTAGCACTTGAAGTTATTCCACCATCTCCCAGCAATTTCACGGCAGCTTTTATAATCTTACCTCCTCCTTACATTTACCTGTAGTTTAACATTCCAAGTGTGGTTGTTGCACAGGATACCTCAACAGACTTGTATTAAAAATGCTCTTTAAAATTCCAGAGCTTTGAACTAAAGAAATATCTCAAGAAGTTTTCATGGAAAGTTCATTGCGGTTGGTTCAATTCAGCTGCAGTTAGATGCACCTTTTCAAATAATGGAAAAAAAAATGTAAAGGGGTCAGACCCAATCAATACAGTTGTTCAAACAGAATTTCAGGCACTGTGATGTGGGGATTTTTTGTGCTCTTCCTTTGTACTGCTCCACTATGAAGAAAGGTTGCTTTTGGTAGCAGAGCAATAAAAATTGTAGCCTTTTGAATACAGCCAAATAACCAATGGGAATCTTAACCAGGTGTGGAAAATATAGCAATTTTTTCATGTTTTTCTTGTGCAGGGCTTTGTTCTTTTTATAACCACACAGTACATGGGCACACAGACACACACAGCACAAGCAAACACTTTAAAATACCCACAGACAGACATAAATCAGAGGGGTAACATCACATCCTGCCTTCTGCATCTTCTAACTTTTGACACTAACATTTCTAAAACCAAAACAAAATCTGGTCTTTCCTTCATAGAACATCCAGAAGTTAACTGCTAAGACACCTGGCAAATAGGTGGTTTCCAAGAGGGGAACAGATGCTGACATAAAAAACATACATACATACATATATATATACACATATACATACATCTATATATACGTGTATATGTATATATGTGTATATATATATATGTATATATTTGAAGATCTGGAAGTCAGAAGAGTAAATGGTGCAGGGGGAAAAATAATGGTCTGAAGTACCAGAATGGGTTGGGAGTGCTCTGCCTTCTCAGAACACCAACCCCTCCCTCCAAAGGCTGGGGGTATCCAAACCAACCACTCTGATGGGCTTTAAGAGCTTTTTGAAATAGCAGCATCCTTCAGCAGCTTTTCCTTCCACACCTAAGATATTCTCCAGAAGAGAATGTCTCAGTAGTTTCCTGAAAAACCTTTGTATCTCCTGGTGGGTTTTGTTTGTGGGGGACTTGTTGTTAGTGGTGTGGTTTTTTTCTTCCCAAGTGTTCCAAAACAGCCTGGATGCCTCTAAGTACTGCTTACCTGCCCAGTCCTTTAAAAGAAACAGCATAATACAGGTGCACAAACAGTGCTATAGCTCAGCAGGATTCCTTGCAGCCCAGCAATCACACAAACTTAAAAATAATAGTGAAAAACAGGGCTGGAGGCTGTTGTGCAGGTCCAGAAAGGTGAAAGAGGTGCCACTTACAGCTACCAGGCTGTACGTTTATAAATGCAGCTGGGCAGTAAATGTTTAGTAACTTTGGCTGAAGAAACTGGAAACAGCTGTATATGGGAAGAGAATCCAGCCTGCAAAATTTTTGCTTAGTATAGCATTACAAAACACTAATTAAAAATCAGCACAATCAAAAGAACTGACACTGTTTTGTAATGAGTGAGTTCAATTAGTCCCACAACACTTCACTGCTCAATAGGCAGAGGCGAAAATAAAGTCCACTTTCTGACCAAAATTATATTGATCTGCAAGTTCACATAATTTTTTTTCTAGTTTTAATATTAGAAAGTAGCTTGTAACACCCTGAAAAGAGCATGTAAATTAAAAGAAACAGAACTCAAAAAGGAAATTGACCCAAACTAAATAGTCCATGCATAGGAAAACTAGTTATTCCTATTTAAAAACTACACCCATCCTTACAAAAGATGGTCATTAAGAACAGCATTTCACACATTCAACAAAAAGTTTTGGAAGAAAAATTATCTTATAATTTTTTTCCAAATATGGGATTAACTAGGGACATGACCAAAATCTTTCAATCAAGACTGGTTTTGTTGAAAATGTTAACGATGTAACTGTTTAGAGCAAAATCCTTCTCTTCCACACCAACTTGAATGAGCAGATTCTCTGTGTGTGATCAAAGCAAAGAGAATGAACATCTGTCCCATGCTGCAGAGCAGCACTGCCTCTGCTCCTTTCCCTTCACTGCCTTGTTGTGTCCCAGAAAAACAGGATGAGCACATCCTACAGCAGCTCAGCTCCCAATTTCTGCCACTCACATCCAAAAGCCAAGGACTCACAGCCTCAAACACTCACCCTCGAGTTTGTGCAGTCAACACTAAGTCACAGAAACACTTTTAATTGTTGTTTTGTTTTTTTTCAGAAGAATTCAACATGTCCAGTGCTCTCCATCAGCTTGGGTGTCTTTTGAGGGAATTGCTGGAAACTCAAACGCTGCCACTGAGCTGCAGCTTTGCCAGTGCCCACCACCTTCCCCCCAGCCAACACCCCACTCCTGCTACTCGAGAATAAAGACAGGTTTCATCAATTGTTTAGAAAACATTTCTAAAACCAAACCAAAACAAAAAAATCAACTAACAATAATAATCATCATCAAAATGTAGAATTGGTGTGGAGAGAGCCTGATTCAAATCCCAGTAAAATAAGTGCCAAACTGAGGAACTTCAATGGGATTTGAACCAAAGAAGAACAAAATGTGATAAAAGCACAAATGACTCTGGATTTCCAACTAGCTGGATACTGATAAGAGAGCAGACAAGACAGAGGCAATAGGAGGCAGTTATGTTAATATTTTAATCTGTACATATACCATTTTCCAAACGGTTACATTTTATTTAAATTAATGTTTTCTTGCAAAATATTCATTTATGCTTTCAAAACTTTTTTATAAAGGCAAAAATAAATCATTATTTTGGCAAAAGATTTTGAAGTTGATACTGGCAGTATTGAGGTAAAATAGATTGCATTAGCTAAATATATACTTTTAAGAATATTTCTGAGTATAGTGTTAATATATGATGATTTGTCTTAAAGTCTGAAACACAAAGGTCAATTCCAAGGGGATTTTAGCTACTACTTGAATACAGGGAATAGACAAGTTAGTGGTTTCACAAAATACTGCAGAAGTATTTCCCAGTTATTTCTCATCCAGAGCTGAACTCAGCTACTAATTACATAACATTGGGAAGCTTTTGCATGTCTTGCATTCGATGCATACACAGGGTTTTTTAAAGTATAGTTGCAGCAATACATTTAATCTTATTTTCTCCTTATTTTAACCAGCTCACCCTTTGCCCTATTTGTGAGTACAGCACAGAATTTCAAAGTTTGGCAAAGATAAGCACCAGGTGAACATACACAGAATTAGCAGGTGCCACATTCCATTAGTTATGCTATGTTTCTAGGATAAATACTAGTCAGTACATCATATTGTAATGTCTATTGAAAAAATATCAGAAGAAAAATATGTATTTACTAGCCAAATGACACAATGTAATTGTTTATTGCTTACTTCACATATTTTAATTAAAAATCATCTTCTTTCACATCTCAACTTCCAAAAAAAATTTTGTTAGCTGTTTGTTATAGAGGGGGCAGCACTACTTTCAAGGGCAACCTAACAAACTGTGGATTGATACCACTAAGTTAATTATCTGGGATCATAAAAAAAGGGGACTTAAAACTGGCTTTTGTTATGGCTTTCTTGGGAAATTTCAGCTATACAGTGGTTACTAATATTTAGAAATTCAAGCTAACAGTTCTTGCAATGGATTATTTAAGGGGCAAAAGGGTGGGTGATTAACTCTACAAAAATATTCCATCTGAAACACCCTTTCACCAAACCTGTCACCCGTGTTAGCTCTATCCATACCCTATCAATGTGCTTCTAGGTTTGCTCCAATTTGCAGGGTTTTTCTCACAAAAATGATGTGCATCTGAGCCTGAGGGGGAAGTAACAGCATCTTTTAGTACCTATGCAAAAAGTGTCTTTTAAAATGAATTCAGCCCTTGATTAAAAAAAAAAAAACCTAAAATACACCGTTCTAAAAATACATTGTCAGTATTTTACAGAGTTTATTAAAAGTGCCGTTTATTCGTATAAAAAGTGTGAACTAAACTGAAGTAAATAAAAAATGATCTGCAGTTCTCTTCATTTTCATAGAAAATCCCCCTATCATTCTCTGAATGTCTTTCCAGAAGAAGGTGTCACCAGCCCAGGAGTATCTCCACAGAAACTCGGGGAAGAATCTCCTCTGTCCTCCACGCGGTGTCACAGAGCGGGATTTGCCTCCAGTCTCACGTCAGTGCTCACTTACTGCTTTGGCTGGTGTGAAGGAAAAGAAAACATGGTTAAATAGTGAAGGGAGCCAGCCAATGCCAGGCAGTAAGAAATTGCTGGGAACTTGTTTTTTTTAAGCTTTTTGCAGTTTGACAGAAGGAACAATTCATACAGACACGTTAAGCCAACAATTGTCTCATGGGGGCTCTCACTGGGGCTCAAGCTCCTGTGTCCCCAGCACATCACAGCTACTTTCTTTTTCTGAAGAAAACATAACTTTATACAAATATACATCTGTAACTGTATATCTATGTGTATATATTTCTACAGACACGTGCTAGACGTGTTTTTAAGTCTGCAATCACAGAATGGTTGGGGTAGGAAGGGACCTCTGAAGGTCAGCCCCAGCCCCCTGCTTGAGTCTCTGGCACTGTACAATTATTTGAGTTACTCAAGCAACCCTCTTTACTACTTGATCTCTGCTTTATCTTCTTGTTCAATTTCAGGCAATATAAAATTAAGCCAAAGAAAATCAGAAGGGTAAGAATAATATGCATCCATGATAAATATGGATGCATAACAAGTGTCTTAACTAGGGGCACACTCAGCATTTGCATACAATATTTACACTTTTTCCTACTTCCAATTCAAACAGGAAAATCTCCGCAAATCCTACTGAGAAGAGACAGAAATACAGATGTTTCTCTGTAAGGACAACAAAATTATCATGGTTTTAATACCTGAAGTGGCAAAACAACCTAACCAGAGACAAACCCAGCCTTCTGTTAACATGATCCAATGAAAGGCATGATTGAAGCCAAACACAACATTGCAGAATTAGTTACAGAGGGCCAAATTTTCAGCTCACCTCAGCTGAGACTCTGATGCCAGCTCACAAAAGAAGCCCCTGCTTGTACAGGGGTGCACTTTGGATTCTCTCTTTGTATGCCCTGAGCAGCCACCAGAGTACAGAAGGCTGCTGAAAACCTGGCCCCCTGTTACCCAGAGCACAGATGTCTCCTCCCTTCACCACAGTAGGACTGAGGAAGCACCTCACCTGCAGAGCAACAGCACTTAACTGAAGACTTCAGCCTCCCACATGTTAGCTCATTAGAAGCAATATTTACAAGGACAAAAGGTTCCTGAAAAAGTAGCTGCATGCTTTCATTCGGATGGAATCTTGGTTTAGTAAAGGAGTTCCAATTTAGCAAGCCACAGCACAGGCACAATGGCAGATCAGACATGCCAAGAGCAGTTAGTTCTTACTTGGAAGGCGTTTAAACAAATGTGTAGTGAAATCCATTGCTTAAGGGGGAGTGAGGTGGCTGTGGTACAGAAGGTGAGGGTGCTTTGGGTGGATGGGTCAACTGCTGAGCTAGAAGGGATCACACACAGGAATTAGGCTGCACAATCAAACATTCCCATCATAAACAGAGTCACCTTAATTTTCTACCACCCGATGAGCAATGAATGAGGTGCTACACTGTTGTAGTCACATGGAACACAAGGTAAACAACATTTCTACCTGCTGCTTTTTTCTACTCCTTGCATAAATGAAACAAATAAAGATTCCTATTTGCATGAGAATATGGACAACCAATCTTAGGAGGAAATTTCACTGGAACATTATGAAGGCACAGAGCACTGACATACTCTCCTAAGCCCTGCTTTTAAAGCTTTTGAAGCTCTGGACCAGCACCTATATTTGCTAATTTGATTTCCAGACTTCACTGAGGCTGTACAGGTTTTCAACATTTCCTTTGTTATATGCCAGTGAGCAGAAACCAAAATAATATATAGAAAAATAATGTTTACAAAATTACGTATATCTATAACATTTTGCTGAGAGCAGTGCATGATACAGTAAATACATTTTCATACCTCAGTTTGAAAATACAGGATAAAGAATACAATGATTAAAACTATTCTTGTTTATAAACCTGAATAATGGTATAGTATTGGAATACAATAATCATAAAATTGAAGAAATTGAAGCTTGATCTAAAATTCTGCTCTTATGTTTTGGAGGGCCAAAGCACACAACATAGGAAATGACTTCTTAGTACTCTTGTATTTGACTTTAATTTTCCAGATTCTTGGCATGATTTCCAGTCAAAAGGTTGATTTCTTATTAGGAACAGAGGGAACTCTGAAATGCTAAGATTAGATAAATTTACAACTTATCTTAAAAGATTTATATTAGCATAATATCCTAACATAACTGCTCACCCCTGAAAAATGGGCAAAGTTAAGCTTCACATTCTCTTTCATAAATAAATATTTGTAAAACAATCTACATAATTAGTTTGGGATTTTCAGATATTGACTGCTTCATCATCAAGGAGCAAACAATAACCCATACTTCAAAAATCAAACTACAAAAATAAAAATGTGAAGGAATCTGTAATATGAGACTAAATGAGAATGTAAAATCAGCTGTGCAAAGTGTCAAATACTTTCAATACTTTCCTTTTTAACCACCTCAGTTGATCAGAAAATAGGCCATAACTAAAAAACCTGAACTCTTTTCTGGTTTGTAGATTTTCTATTAAAACCAAACCACTCTGTTTGTTTGGTTTTTTTTTCTTTTTAAGAATATACCATGGAAGGTGTTTACTTTTAAAGGAGTAAGAAATAACTGAAATCAAAGCAAGACATGCTTCAAGAAATGAGTTTTTGAGATAGAAGTGTGGCAACAAAAGCTGCGCACAAATATAAAAAGTTTGGAATTCCTTAAGAACCATAGTCTTTGGCTACTGTGTTAGGATTTCTTTCAGGGTCTGAAGACAGAAGAAGCAGCTGCTATGCTCCACAAAGAAAATGAAACTAAAACTTATCTCACAACTGACTGCAAATTTTCTGAAGCAGCATTTAAACATTTCAATGCCAATACACATTTTAATTCCCTCTTTGAGGAAACTAAAGAAGATTTTTGTGGTTACATATATCTAAGGAAATGACAAATCACACTTTTGAGATAAACATAAAAAATTAAAATATATAAATAAAAAACCTACAGGAATGAAATGTATACTAAATTCACTACACAATATTTTAAAAAACCAAACTTAATTCAATACTGTAGAGTTGCTACAAGTTCAGGCACACCCAGAAGTAACTTAATTGGCCCCAAGAAGACCTTTGAGTAGGGCAGGCACTCTGCTCTGACATAGAAGAATGATTTCAGGTACTGGCTGTGTTCATCTGGGCTGATCTTAGCCCAGATGTGTGACCTTTTCCCAGCAGAAGCTGCAACTCAAGTGGCAAAACGCTCCCCTGGCTCGTACCTCATGAAAAAAATTTCCATTCCATAACCAAAGGATTGGAGCACCTGTTAAAAGGTTCTGGTCACTAGAACTGGGACCAAAGCACCTGTGGGAAAGCCCTGTTGATACACCCATGGCCTGAAGGGCCACGAGGTTATTCCTGAACTGCTCTCATGATTTTACAATTATGTTTTTCTGTTTGTTTGGTTTAGCTTTATAACATCTGGCCTCCTCAGCAAATCATTTTCTCCCTGCCAGTCAGTTAAATTACCCACAGAAACTCTCTGAATTCTCAAGATTCCTATCTTGGAAATGCATTCCATCCCCTGAAAATGCCATTCCCCCCTCAGGTTCAGCTGGCACTGCACCCCTGAGTGTACAGCCACACTCAATCAACACTGTTACTGCAGATGCACGTCACGCAGCCCGATACTGGAATCATCTGTCTTTAATGGGAAGGTCTTAGGGGCTGCTGTGGCAACAGCCATAAGTTTAAACTGACAACTTTGGATGAGAAATGTGCATATTTTTTCTCCATCATAGTTGAAGTTTCCATTATTTCCATTCTCCACTGGAACAGTGAATGGTGCCAGTTATAAATGGCCAGTCAGACACTTGGGGAAATGGCTGCTGCATGGATTACTGTGTGATACAAATCTCTTGACATTTCTTACTTATTTCAACTATAAAGCAATCAAGAGTGAAATTATCACTTTTAGCAACATATTGCAAAGGATCTATTAATTTCCAGGCATCAAGCAGAATTCCTGCAGAGCTGTCTTGCTCTGACCTCTCATCCTGGTCACCAGACATGCCAATCCCCATTTTACAAGCTCTTTTTCAGCCTGTTGCACACAGCTCAAGCTGCAAATGATTCTAGCCTCATCTCCATCACCAGACCAGGGAATTGTTCTCTTTAAAAAAATATTTCAAATCCTCTTTCCTTGATTGTTTTTTGAAGTCACAGATCCATTTACTTTCAAAAAATGAACATAGAAATATTTGATTTAATGTAATTATAGAGAATTAAAATCCTAATTTTTTTAGCACTCTTAGTTAGAGCAAGTTTCCAAGTTCTGAACTTACTGATCACAGTATTTTGCCTCCTTTATCCTGTCCACTGGAGGCCAAATACTCAATGTAAATCATTAGCCCCTCTCCATTTGTTACCAACACACACTTTTCACTATTTTGAATATGAACGACTAAAACTTTCTCTCATGCCAGGAGTTCAGCAACAACCCCACACAACTGGAGAAGCTGGTAAGGAATAGTTGCTATTTTGTAAATAACTAAGCATTACCTGCTACCTCCTTGCTCCTCTGAGAGGCTTCAGAAGCCAGAGCATATGAAATGGTAATGATGCGCTCCTGCTCCTGCAGCTGTGAATCTAAATCAATCGAGTTGTGTTTGTCCTGGGCAACAGTAGGCTGCAGATTGTGCATACTGGGGGGAAAGTGAAAAACAACATTAACATTTGCAAACATAAAGAATCCACCATGCAGATAAGAACGAGCTTGGATTCAGGGTTTTCAGATCTCATCTATCACGCTCCGTGTTTTATTGCGGTTCTTTAAAGCAGGGTTGATGTTGTATGCAAATACTACAGCACACAAGGAAAAATGACAGTCACCACACGTTCAATTACAATCTCTGCATAGCCTTAAGAACATCTGAAAGTTCTTTTTTTGAAATATCCTTAATGTGCTTAAATGAAAGCACTACAAAAGTGCTATTTATTTCAAGTTGGTAGTAAAATTCCTTGCTAGTGCTCAGAGGAAAATGAAAAACCTGGTGGTCCTCAGGCTGTACCCCTTCCTAAGAGAGAGCAGGTACCTGACATATCAAATTCTGGAAATTGAATGTTTCAGCTGACTATGTTAGTTGTAAGTAGCCAAAAGTGTTGTTTCCCAACTCCAGCTCTCCGGCCACAACAAACTTGCTCTCATGCTGACTTTTCTTCTGCTTTTGGCCAGCTTTGTGCCTTTCCTTCCTCCTCACTCTCAGATGAGAGTTCTTTGGTAAGGACTTACTACTGTTTTAGGACTCTCTAAACAAGAAAATGGACATACATAAAATTCATCAGTATGTCTTCTACCTTGTTTTAAAAAGCAGCTCTGAGTATGCCACATAAATTCTGAGTGCATTTTCTCAAAGCTACAAGCTGCATTCAGGTAACAGAAATAAAGATTGTTGTATGATGTTAGTTCTCAATGTTTAACATTGTAAGATTTGGAAAAAACCCTACAGCCTAACCTTGATTTAGTAAGAATATTCTTTATCTTTTCTGCTTTACGCTGCCTTGCTGCCAGTTCTTCTGTAGAAAGAGGCTCCTCTGGCTCCAGCTCAACATAACGTTCTGGAATTACAACCTTCTCGGGTTTTGACAACTGTAGAAAGAAAGCAAGCATCGAGTTTTCAATAACAAAGACTTAAAAGAAATTGAGATAAATCCTCCTCAATGGGAGAACAGAGTGAAAAGAATAAAGCATGGATTTTCACAGTCAGTACATGTACCTGACGCTTAACACTTCTTCTGGATATCTAGCTGATGCCCTTTCAACAGTGTTCCCTCTGATTCTTTTTACTTCAGAAGATAGATTGAACAAATATTTAAAGGGATTACAGAAGAAGTCAAAATCAACAGAAAACCTTTCTTCAGGCTTACAGCCCAAGATAGACACTGACTAAAGCTCTTAGAGCAGAAAGAAGCAACCACTCTGAGACTGACTGGACATCCTGAGATATCAATGTCATGGTATTTGTGTCATGCCAGCCAGAACTTCCTACATCTGAAAGGAAATATTACTGAAAGTTTTAACCTAGGGTGTCATTCTTTTGGGACTGGACAATCTTCTGTGAGCAGCAAAGGGGGAAAAAAAAGGCAAACAGAAATACACTGCACTGTGTGATTGTGAAAAACACATTGCATAAATTAATTCTGCAGACTGAAAATTTTCATATGACTGCACGAAAGCTAGAAACAATTTTTTACTATGATAAATTAGTCTGTGGGAACTTTTCACTCCTCCCAATGAAAATACAGTTTACAAACTTTGAAAATCAATTCTTATCATACAGAACAGACTGCTTTTGAAAACAAAAATAGAGGATGTGTGAATAAACAGAAATCAAGTAAAGGAGAACTATTTTTTTCTTATTATTATTGGAATTTTGTTATAACACTCATGAGGCAATGAGTCTTCAAAATTTCAAGTTTTCAATGAATATAATCCTAAATTTTTTCACCACTGACCATGGTTCATGCTAATTCAATGGATTATGTAAAGTGGCCTGACCTAACCCCCAGTGCTTAGGCTGAGTAATTGACAGGGAATCTCATGCCAAGAACACACACTGGCACACTCAATAATATTAAAACCACAGCCTCAAGTTTTTAGACTTCCCCCTCAGGAAACCCAAAGCCAATGCTTCCAGGAAAATCCTCATTTTTTCAATACACTTCCCTACTTTTGAATCCAACTCCTCTCTGGAGGTCAAGATACAGAGATATATAGACTTTTTTTTAATGCGTATCTCTATCTCCATACTGTATGTAACCTACATTAGCTCATCCTGTCACTTTCAGAATAACAAACCCATTAGAGTAGATGGATTTCCTGAAAGACAGAACTGAGCATGCCTCCTTCTGAGGCACAGAGGTACCTCAAACACAGAAGTGCCTGCCAGGTGAAGAGAATGGCCACATGAAATGGAAAAGAACAACAAGGCCAGGCTGGATGGAGCTCTGGTTCAGAGGAAGGTGTCCCTGCCCATGGCAGGGGGCTGGAATTAGATCATCTTTAAGGTCCCTTCCAACACAAATGTATGATTTTAACCTGGGTAAACTGAGAAAGAAGCATTACACCCAGAGCTTCAGACCTACTTCAGTTACTCTGAAGCAGGACAGAAATGCCTATGAGCAAAAATGTCTCTTATTCAAGGCTTAAACGAAGTACAAAATGATTCCCATTGGGGTCAAAGGCCTTCTGGAAAAGAAAAATTAATGGCAGAGTGCAACAAGGAAAGGCATAAGAACAGAAATTATTTTCTGTTTCTGAAGTTTACAGAAGCACTGTATTTTCTGTAAAAATTATACAAAGATTAACTGAAAGATAAATCCATTCATAGAGTTCAACAGATAACTCACAGAGTAAACCATTTACAAATATCTCTGTCTGTAAAATGATACTCTGCCAACAGCTTTCAGAAGAGTACAGTTGCTTACTAGTCTAATTACCATTAATGGTTGTACTGGTTTGCCATCTCCCACGGCATTTAACACAGCACAAGGTACCCCCTGCAGCCTTTCCCCTTGCTGTGTTCTCTCCTTCCCAGCAGATGGCTCAATCGCATTTCAAAATGACATTTCCTCCCTTACTGCAGCCGAGCAAAGACCTCTCGAGTGCCCAGCACACCGACCAAGTCATTCCAAAAGCTGACAGAAATGCGTTTTCTGTTCAAGCCAAATAAAGCAGTGCTTCCTCTTCTCTATCATCATTTGCCAGTCCACATGAAAAGCAGTGAGGTAGCTCTGGGGAACTAACTTGTCCTTCTTTCCTGCTTCTCATTTTAAAATACTCATTATGTTGTCTTCTCATCTTTTTTTCACAATTTACAGAACTTTCCCTGACTTAATCACTCTTCCCTTTAAATCCTGAGATATATATTTAAAAGAGTAGAGCCAACTTGTCAATTTCTTCTTTCTACTAAAACAGTATGAAGAAAAACCTTACAAAGGTGCCAGGTCATAAATTTTCAGTACTCAAAAGACTCCTTTTAGTTCAAACTTCCAGCAAACTTTCAAAAGAAAAGATGAGAATTCACTGCCTAAAACTTAGAAAGGTTAATGTTTTGGGACAGAAGATAGGAGGCAAAAGATTGTGAATGTTACCTCTCTGCAGATATCTAAATCATAGTCTTGAGGCTCCAGGTCTGTCTCTGTCACTGCTACTGGCTGAACTTTTAACCATTCATTTTCATCCTTGTCTTCTCCACGAATTGCCCTCTCAAGTAACTGCAAATCAAATTCTTGCTCTCGTTTCCACTGGTAATAGATACAAAACAATTAACCACATTCAACCATAGTGCCAAACTCACCATACAGCAATGCACATTACTACTGCAGCAAAAGCTACGCTGCTGAAAGAATCAGCAGGGCAAACCCCCAAAGGGGCAACAGAAAGAAAATAAAACTGCATTTCTTGGTAGATAAGGGTGAGAGTATTGATCTCTAGCTGTGCTGTGAGGAATTCAGAGTATTGTTTAATTTTATATGTTCAGCAGTGTTAGATTCTAAGAGATTTACCAACCCAAATTTTACATTTGCTGATGAACATGGAACCAGCCACACACAGAACAACACCTTTGGAATCACAGGAGTGATTCCACTACCAGTGAGCCTACAGGCTGGCAGAGTAGTAGTCCCTGGCATTGTAAAGAGGCTGTGCTGCATGGTTCTGGATGACTACACAGAAAGGCTATTTTACAGTGCTGGTTGAGAATCACAACTTGAAAATTTTATGTATCTTTTTAGAATAATACCTACTGTTTAGAGTTGATATTATTTCATGTATTAGCGTTAACTTGTCTTGAAGTTAAAAAAAATTGGCTTCTAAGCTCTTCAGACTTTACTAAAAGCAGAGTCTGGCTACCTGCAAAAGCCTTCCACACAGTCTTTAAAACATAAATATCTAGCAATATAAATCAGAACTATTTAATATTTATTGACATTTAAATTTAGCATATTTAAACTAAGCTGCATAATGTAGAGTACCCAAAAGCACTGCACAGTAGTCCCTATACAACTACACACAATACAGTTACATATAAACTCACACTTAAGGATACTACCAATACCTTTTTGTTCAAAAAATTAAGTTCAGTTGTAGCATCATTCCATCCAGTAGATCTGAGCAACTCTACCATAGATGATATTAAAAGCAGTAGAAAAAAAGAAGGGACACAACCAGCAACAACAACAAAATTATCTCCTCAAGGTTCTGAGGGAATCAACAGGAGAATGTGCCACTTTTATGTTTCTAAAAAATATCTCCAGTATTTCTGGTACAAATCTTTGGCTTGTTTTGGATGAAGTTTGAACTCCACATGAAGTCCTTAGACTTCATTATGTCACTTGCATTAATAAATCTAATTGAAACCTATTCATGCACAAGCTCTCAGTATTCACTCAGAAGTATCTTCCATGTATATTAAAAAGTTAAGTAGGTAAGAGGCAATTATATCTCAAAAATTAATACATGACAGAATTCGACAGAGAAAATAAGATTTTTCTCATATGAGTATACTCCAAACTCATCCTTCTACTCATATTCGAACCAGGCCTGATTGAGATAGTATATTTTAAACACACAGGATCATTTTCAAGTTGTTGTTATATAATAGGTAAGAAAAACATCAAACCATTCTTATGAAGCAGTTCTTTTATTGGCTTTGATGTTGCAACTTTTACATTAAAAAGGCATTGTATATAACAAATGAACTCATGTACTGTGATCAATACTTAAAATGTCATCCTACACTTGAGAGCTGACCAATTAAAATTTAGAATTACACATACAATGTATGTTTCAAGCAAATGTTACACACTGAGCAGCACTTCAATCATACATTTAACTGTTTGCCATTGTGGCTGCTAAATAATTGTAATGCTGTAAGTAATTGTGCTATCAAACATGCTTTTGCATATCAAAGCCCCATAGGTACAAGAGATGACCTCTACAAAACACTACTAGGGCTGAAAAACTATTTTAATTCTTTACAGCAAGAAAAAGACCAAGATGGCACCCAAATTTATAAATAAAGTGTTTGCCACAAATGTTAATAACAAGTGTTATAAAAGCTTTTCAATTCAACTTGTGTATGTTATGTGAATCAGAAAACATGAGAAGCTCAGATTTATTTCTTCCAATTAAAGTATGAAAGTAACAGTGGTACTGTAATACTACAATTCCCAAACATTATGCACTGTCTTCAAAAAATTCGTGATTGCAAAACAGAAGACAAAACAGATGAATGTCTCCAAGCAGTGCAGTTGTATTTACTGGGAAAGTAAATACAAATAACTGGCTGCAAATTAGTGCTACAGAACAGTGGGAATGAAAAGCTGATTATAAGGTTTTTTCAATGCCAGCAATTGACACACATGTACTAAATGCAATTAAGCCTGGTAAAAATTGAGTAGTCCAGTTAGAAATTTTAAAGTAGCTACAAAATTCTGCAAATTAAAAGCAAGCAAACAAAAAAAAAAGAGGCATTAGGTATGATGAGTGACAAATTTAAAAGCAAGAGATCTTGTGCAATGAATTAGGTAAAACAATGTGATCATTCTAAAGCTCTAGTGGACCAAATAAAAAAAATAAATTAAAAGACCACAGCATAAGTGCAATTACAGTACAATCCTGGTTTAGCACCAAGTGAGCAACTGGGTAACTTCACCAATCAGAATTGCTTTGGTTAGTATCCAAAATGTATCATTATAAACTTCTCATCTGCACAGCATTTACTCTCAGAAAGCAACAAAAATACTTTTCTTTAGCAGCCTAAATTTGAGCCTTATTAGAATATTCTACATTTTGAGATTTAAATAAGAATTTGTATCAATTAGAATACATTAGCTCTTATATAAATTCCTAATCAGCATGATTAGATTTTAAAACTGATTATCCATTTATCATCTTTTTTAAAAAGAACAAACAAACACCACCTTGGTCTGATATTACCACCGACTATCTTGCAGGCTAATTTATGAATTAAAAGGAAAAACACCCATGGTGAGAAGCAATATTCTAAAAGGCCCATTCCATCATGAAGCACTTTTAAAACTGTACAAGCTTCTGTCACTTTCTAAATACAATTCCAAGGGAAAAAAAAAAAAAAACATGGCTCTGAAATCACCCCAAAATACTGGCATCTCCACTCATCACTAACCTCGGACCAACTTACCTGCTGAACCTGCCACATTTACCATAACTACGAGTAAAAAATATCATCTGTTCCTCACACTCTCTGAACTCATTTGATACCACAGAACACTAATTTAATTGGACTAGAAGCATCACACGCGCTCAAGTAAAAGTGCTTGCTGGGGGAAAACAAAAAAAAAAATTAAAAAAAAAAAAAAAAAGAAGAAGAAATCCAAAGATATTTTTAGTTTAGTCCTTTTAAGGCATATCTAACATACTGAGCCTACGTCTGCAGACACGGGCCTGATGAAAGGGCGAGATGAAACGGGCTGCCTTTCTCCTTGGCTAAGAGTTCTCTTGCGTTCCCGCACCAATGCCTTCTGATGTCTCTTCATTCTTTCTAGCTGCTCCTCTGCACTCATCTTGCCTCTTTGGTGGTCTCCAGAGTATAAACGTTCCAAGGCACTCTTTGGTCTCTCCTGGAGAAGTCACAAGGCACACAAAACACATGCTGTAATTAATACTTTATAAGAAGTATACAAAAAAAAAAAAATGGACTCCTTCTCCCATCTCATTACTAAATTTTATTCTATTAACTTTGCATTTCTTTGTATATACTCCCTCAACTCTATTTCCTATTAGTAGTGCTGATTTTTGGTTCTAAACCTTGTTTTATAAATCTATTTGAAATCCAGTAAGTTGTTTGTTCATTTAAGAAAGTGAAGAATTGGAGAGTTCATTAGATCACAGCTCTTGCTCCTCTCCCAGGCTACTGCAATCCCACTTCCTGCTACACAAAACGTACTCTGGGCTTAACTATTGCAAGCAGTTCAGACATTTGCCTTCAGAAGTTTATTTAAAACTTACCTTGGACCTATCCCTTCGAAGTGTTGCAAATGATGAAATGGTAGATGACTGGTGCAATCTGGAAGTTGATCCAGACAAACCTTTATGAGGAAAAAGAGAATGCCTTAAAATCAAATGACAGACAGAATAAGACAAGTATCAGTTTGGTTTTTTAAATTTTATTATCCTGTTTCTGTGGCATTCTGGTCACTATTTGAGCACACAGTTTGCAATTCAGATGATCATAAGAGGCATGAAATTTCATTTCAGCCAGACACAATGCGCATCAGGTCGCTACTGATCGAAAGTCAGAAAAATATGTAATAATTTAGAAGATTATATAAAAGGAGGGATAGGTTGAACTCAGGTGTACAAGAGTAGATGGATGGTACAAATAATCACATCTATTAAGAAAATAAAACCTTAACATTCACAGTTAGAAATGAAGAAGTAAGAAGCAAATGGCTAAAAAATCATTTGCTTTTGGCCCAAATATCATCTCTATCCTCAGAACGAGTTGCAAGACAATAGCACATGGGGGATGGAGTGTCAAGTCAGATATAATGTTTGGAGTACTATATTCATCTACCTTATCACTTACATTTTAATGGCAATATAGATATTTTAAAAACACTTGGACTTTGCAAAAGATAGCACAGAACTTATGAGGAAAAGTAACCCTGAATATAAGAGACATTCTAAGAGCCAATTCCATGTTTTGCTATGGGGGTTTTTAAGCCTTCTATATTAAGTTGCTTTGCTAAAGGCTGATTGTCTGTAACAGCACCATTAAAATACACAAAATTTCTAAACTTCCACTGAATGGTTAATTTTAAAACACTGATCTGGTGATAAAGATCATCTCCAGGAAACCCTACAAGAGAAAAGCTCCTATACAGACAGTACTGTTAGGGATCAATTCCATAAATTCCTGGCTTACCACGGGTAGGTAATGTCTGGTATCCACTATCAGGGCTTATTAAAGCACTGGAAGGGTGGCTAAGGTCACCCCCTATCATTGCCAGCTCTGGCTCACTCATGTATGAACGCAGCTCCACCTATACAGAAAAAACACTCATCAGCTCTAGTGAAATCACAGATAGCATGTTTTAATAATCCTAAAACAAATCCTGAAGCTTTGTTTCTGGACTGCTACATCTCTCTCTGCCATTATTATCATATGGCATGGATCATTATTATTATTATTATTATTATTATAATATCATTGTTATCTCTCCACCATTCTATATCATGATTACTTTATTAAAGATCCATATATTCTACAGCCAACAACATCTTTTATTCAAGGTTCCCATCTCTTTGAAGTGCAGGGGTACAGGAGTGTGAGTGCTCACCCTGTAATCTCCATTTACATACTGGCCGAGCTCTCTGTCTCTCTTTCTCTCGTCTGACTGACGCTTCAGGCCCCGCACCGAGGTGTGCCTGATGACAGTGGCTTCTCTGGGGAGGGGTGGGACAGCTGGTGGCTGATCCTCAGGGCTGTACAGCTGAGGGAGAGGAGGTCTGGGCGGTGCTTCATCTTCCTGGGAACAGGAAAACGCAGGGATTTGGCAAAGAGCATGAAAACAGTCTGGCATAAACTGCAAAATAAAGGCCAGTGCGTTACGTGAAGCATTTGTGACTGCTTCAGCGTGCTATCCTTTGTCCACTCCACTTGGCCTTGCTTTAAAGTCCAAGCAAGACCCAAGAAATCAACCACAAAGCATTCCCAAGGAAGGCTCTGAATATGAACACATTCCAAACCAGTCTATGGCCACTGTACAATGGGCTCCACATGTACTGTGCTGCAAGTGCTGCTCCTCAGCTCCAGCACAAACACCCACTGCTGTGTCTCCACAGCGTGTGCACCTCCCACCCGTGACACTCCCGCTGCTCCCAACAGAGGGGAAACGAAAACGCTGCTGAAGGAATCTCACAAGAGCACTACTTACAACCTTTGGCTTGAGCTTGACTGGTGACTGAAGAGGTGGCTCGATTTTTTTCAGCTGCTGTGCTTGGTGCTGTGTCCTGGTCTGGAAATAGGGCTGTGGGTAGAGCCTGACCTCCAGAGGGGATTTCAGCGGGCTGCGCGGAGGGCTCTGCGGGACAGACAGTTTGCTCTCCACAGCAGCAAGGGAAGCTGGTAAGGAAGGCACTGAAGACTGAGAAAATGAAGGCACTGTTTTTCTCTCTAGGGGAAAAATAGACAAAAACATTTTCTGATGAGGATCTAGAGAGCCTTGCAGGCCAAAAATGAAACCACACAGCTCTGTATCATCCCGTAAAATTCCTGGTGGAGGGCAGTGGGAGCAATGGAAGGAAAAGCCTGGGAGTTATATGGAATCAGTCCATAAGCTGCAACTGGCCTCATGCCACAGATTCCTTAAGCTGCCTGCAGATCTGGACCATCTCAGAACTATTTCATCTCTGTATGTGAAAGGTGAGTTCTGCAGGAGGCATTAACAGTCTCTTGCTACCCCAACACATCAGGTCCTGTCTTTGAAACGTAATAAAGCCACTGCAGTGCAGACCACACACACTGTGCCTCCCTCCCTTTCCAGAGCTGATGCTGCTCTGCCCACCAAACACCTGCCTGAACAGGGAGGGGAAAGGCAACTGCAGCAAAAGCAGCTGGGCTGCATCCAGGGGGAAAAAAACAATAAACCCAGAGAAAAACACAGAGAAAAGCTCCTGGACAGGATGCAGAACAGATACTACACTGGTAAGGGCCTGGCACCTGACAGGAACCCCTTCTGCAATCTGAAAAATGTAGCCCATTATTGTTATTGTTGTTCCCTTTTTTTATGGCTTGTTACATTTTAGAACCATTGGTATGTGAAAACAAACAAGAAAAAACCTTTCTGTCACCTCAGGCAAAGAAACACCAAGTTAATGCACTCAATCAACAGAGATTTCTGATACATCCAGTAGCAGAATTAACTGGATTTTCTACAGCAGAACAAATTTCCAGATTATTTGCACAGACCCAAAGACTCAGCTGCACTGGTATATTGTTTATTTTTCCATCAGGTTCCCCTTACCTGGATTCTTTATAGAGTCTACTATGGTTTTGTAGTTTGCTTTGTTTGCACTCAAGCCAGCTGTAACATCTTCAATTCTCCACAAGTCTTTTTGTATTTGAGTTTTCTCCTGTTGTTTGGAGTAAAAGAAAAAAAAAATCAATTGTACCTCAGTTTTAATTGATTATGGGCCTTTCCTTCTTTTGATACCACCAAACTACAATTACAGAACTTACATGAAAACTTAGGTGTTTAGAAATTAGTTAAGTAATTATTTAAAAATAAAAACTAATAAATACAAAACACCAACAAACATATCTTGTCCATAAAATTTATTAAAGCATTTTTTAACTCTTGGAAGACTTCCTATAGAAGACAGGGGAAAAAGACAAGTCTGTATTTTTCTACAATATTGGTCAGACTACAAAAACATACTTTAATGTTCTACATAAATTAAGTTTCCAGAACCTTTTAATTTGAACTTTGTTCTTAAATCCTACACCTATCAAACTTAAGACTGCTAAAGCAACCTTAAAAAACATCTCAATACTTTTAGGGGAAATATCCAGTATTAAAAAAGGGAAAAAAAACCCCAAAATTCAGAAGTGGTGACAATTTTAATTTCTGCTTATATTTGAGTTGTTAGGCCTACTGGCCATGATACATTACAAGTTAAAACAATATATTGCTGCTGCTCCAGGACTTGGTCTCATCTTGCATCCTATTTGCTTTACCAAGGCTTTTTTCCAGGAGGAAAGAAAGAAAGGGAAGCTTTGTCTACAGACTGAGCTGCATCACAGCCTGGCTCCTGAAGCCACCATTTCAGTCATTCCAATCATCTTAAATAGCTGCTGTCATCTAATTCATTAAAGCCTGGTAACACAGATCTCAAAAATTTGCATCAAGAATTAACTTGGTAAAACCAATACCATTAAAGAAAGCGAAGGCAGTGAAACACTTAAGTTAAGAATTGCTCACAAACTGCTCAAGAACTCCAGAAATTCATCACTTGCCATGAGCTGCAAAATAGCTACTAATTAATCCTATAAGGCTGAGGGTGGAAAAAAAACTTCAGTAAAAGCTGTTACACCTCATAGAGCTAAGGAAGGCATATAAATTGCTTTCCACTTTCTGTCTTAAATCAGGAAATATGTTCAGCCAGGTTACAGATCAGCAAACAGGGTGCCAAGAACACAAACATTTAAATGATGGAGAATGTTATTTGCCTGTAGTAAACTCACTCGATAGATAGGACATGTTTTGAAAGATTGTCAGGACACAAACTATAAATTTGCACATTTCATTTCATTTTTCTGAGATTAATCATACTACAAGGAACCAAATGATGGATTTACAATAATCAAGCCTCAGAACTGGTGAAAAAAACACTAAGTTGCACTGAAAATCCTGCTTCTGAAACCACTCAGAAAATGTTTGATTAGCAATGTAGAAAAGCCAGATCTTTTAATATTATTTCTTCCCATTACTTAAATATTGATGTGAAGAGAATATTTTAAATCTAAAATGGACTTGGGCCGAATGATGAGCAGATGAATTAATTTTAAAATTATGAAAGCCAAGATTGCTGTTTACAGAGGGGTATAAATACACTTTATTGGCAGGCAGGAAAAGGTAACTTGGAGAGAACATTTTATTTCTCTAACTTCTTTCAAACAGAAACATAATTTAGACTGACACAAAGGCAGAGGAGAAACACTTACCAACTAAGAAGTTATCACTGATAAAATAACCCATCTCAGTTAAATTCAGCATGCCCAGATCCTCCTCAACCCTTCAGCAAAAGACAATTGTAGCTACATTCTAAAAAGCAGGATTCACTCTGACCAAGCTGCTTAAACATTTAGGTTTTAACCTCTTAATTAATGCTACATAGAAACAACATCAGTGGTCTCCTACAGCAACTTGAGCCTGCAAATTTACTGAATTTTTAATAATATTCCATGAAGATTGCATTTTTTTTAAATACAGTGTGTATTAATTTAGTGCTATTGGAAAATGCTAGATAAACAATCTTGAGTCTACATGCCCTTAGGCAGAGATCAAAAAATTCTAACTATTATGGGTACTTCAAGTGAGACTTCTTTGAAGGCATATAGTTTTTTAGAATATTCAGTACTTTCTGAAAAAATCAGTTCCCCCTAGAATCTCCAAAATAGGTATTCAGAAACATTTTTTTAAAACTCAGCCAAACATATCTGTGCATACTTGTATGTATAGACAGATAAAAGTATACACACATACAACTGATAACGTGCTTATGGCTGTGTGTGTATTTATAATTAATCACTTATGTGATACGAGATGATAATCAAACTGAATTAACATTTTTTTCTGTGCAAGCCACACTCCCTTCCATATGTATTGGTGAATCCCATGTCACACATCCAGTATTTTAAGCATGTTAAAATTTCCAGTTAGGTGTTAATCTCAAAGTGGTCTAAAAAGGTGTATTTTGTTTAAAGGTGTAATTTGCCTTTGTTAAACTAAGTAATTTCATACAAGGACCATTTTATTCTGATATTCCCCCAGGATTTTTTCTTTAAAATATATTCTACAGCTGAGCTCAATTACATATTCTGACTCCAGAAACTGAATCATTTCCCACACCCCAAAATGAAAAGCAAATGAAAATGTACTTTGATGCAATCAAAAAAGGTTTTACAACTCCTGCTTTGATACTAACATTTATTCATTCATAGTGAAAATAAACAGGCTTCAAATTATATCTGATCAGATACTTAATGCAAACAAGCTAAAAATTTAACTGGTGAGCTCTTTTGGTCCAGGATATTTGGAAAAGTAGACTAAGATTTGAGAAAAATGTATCTATTAACTGTGTTCCTTGTGTTCAGCTCACACAAAGGAAAAATTATCCAGTATTCCCTGAGAATAAAGTAACCAGCTGTAAGCAGGTATGTAGAAATAATCTGGTATTCCACATGCATTTCAGCAAGGAAAACAACTGAGCTTCAAACAAAGCTTCTTTTTAAAATTTGAAACTGAATAATTGATTTAAAACTGAGATGCCTTTCAATTACTGATGGCTGTTAAACACTTATTCCACTTCACAAAACAATCTGCAGAGATAAATCTTCCATAAATAGAAGAACATGACAAAGAACAAGTAATGACAATAACAACCAGTGACTGATGCTCTTAAAAATGGATAAAGAAGCCAACAATGTCAGATCAAATAAATGGAAGGCTAAGAAGTCCTCTGCACAGTCTGATAAACTGAATAGGTTATCAATGTCAAGATGTCAGCATGTAATAAAAACGTAATAAAATAACAACAAATTTGCATAGACAACTTATGAAAAACTATGGCACTACTGCATGTGCTGCAAGACAATGCAGGGGTTTTTCTCACTGCACAGCCATGCTGCCACAGTGCCTGAACTCTGCAAACCAAATTACATGACAGCTCAACACCCTGCAAAAATGGCAGAGAAAATCTCTCTTATGAAATGGTAACTTGAAGTTCAGACTAAGCCATCCTCTAAGTGTTTAGAGTGTCTGGAAATGGACTCACCTGAGATACCAATGAACTGTTCATCTGCTCCTGTAAGGCTTTTTTCAGTTGGCTCACATCCTTCTCTAATTTCAGATACTCATTCCAGGCATTTTCCATCTCCTGTTAACAGAAGGAATACTCTAATACAGTGCTAACTTCAAAACCACTTTCTCCATCCTCTAATTGAGCACCAAAGAGTTTTGAAGTGACTGTTGTTTTATTATAAAAAGAAGCAAATAATCCATTTTAGTCTACATTGTTGCTTAGACTTGATTATACACCTGAAAACCCTTCATGGCTTGCACGATCAAGTCAAAAACCTCTGGCCAGCTTCCTGACACAAAACCAAACTGGGATGTAGCAGAATCCCTGCACCAGGACAGCCCTTTTTCCAGGGACTTGCTGTTTATGCCCACAAACACATTTTACATGCTGACTGTGAAAGTCATACATTTTCTACAGACACAAACTGACTACATACATTTAAATAATACTGTCATTTTAGTGATCAGACCTTACTATAGAGAAGCTGCTCATGCAATTTTAGAAACTGTCTTACAAAGATCTAGTCTCATTCATGAAGAGGCAGTAATAATACAGTGAAAAAACCATTAAATTACATTTGAATTTTATTAAGCTATAATATGAATGGTAACTTTTTACTGAAATATCAACAGATTTTCCCAACTCTTTTTATCCCACAAAAACATCCTGGAATCACATATTTTCAAAGGACTAGCTGAAAGATTTGCAATTTAAGCCCACACTTAACATGTAAAGACACTGAAAAAGTTAAAGGGTTTTTGTTTGGTTTGAGGGCATGGGAGGCAGCCATTGAAAAGCAAAGCTGGAGAGAGTGTTGAATTTTGTTTGGTTTAGTATCCTGTACCTTAACCAAAACTGTTTAGAACAGGTCTTAACTCCCCTAGCCAATGACCAACACAGTTTTAGTCTAACTGGGATTTTAATTCTGGTTTTCTTGAAGCAACCAAAGACATGTACCGTTGAAACTTTGGATATTTCAGCCCGAATATGTATAAGGTCCTCTTGCAAAAGTCTCTGCTGGTAAGATATTTTTTCTGCATGTTGTGGTTGGTCTTTGTACTGATCCATCTGCCTGTGCAAAACCTCCAAAACAGACTCCAGCTGATCCTAACAAAGAAGACAGCAGTAAGTTTACAACATTTACATGGAAATTTATGCACCTACTTGCAGGAAGATGAAAGGTGTTTTCCATGCCCCAAGTCTTCCCTACAAACCAACAGAAGTTAGGACTGGCCTCCTGTTTTGGAGAATCACATGTAAACAAAAACTGCAAGAGCCTTAATTAGCTATTGTATCCAAAATTATCTGATATTTTCTATTACATCTTCCCTTTAAGCAGCCAAAACCATTGAAAACACAAAGCAGTGAGAGGGGAATTCTTCTGTTTACCCTCTTTACAAAAGTGTAATTTACAGTTTCAGAAGAATTCCCTTAAGCAGTACAGAACCATGACAGCCCCACCACAGCCCAGCATGAGCTGTTTGTTTAAGGACAGGTTCTCCTTCACTGCTGTGGGTGAAACAGTCATGTGAGGGTTTAAAATATTGCCTAAAACATGAAAGAGGCCCAATTCATTTAGTCAGGAGTAAATAATGGAATTAATTTTGCACAGTAGCTCTTCCACAGGATCCACCTGAACAGCACTTTCATTTCAGGATATATAAGTTTATTATTATTATTATTATTTTTATAATCACCTCAGTTTATTGACAGCTATAGCTCACAGGAAGTGAAGCAGATGGGTTTAAAACATTCACTTTCAAAAACATGTTTTCTCAGAATGGGTACTCAATCCTGAAATAAAACCCAATTCTTGTTATCATAGAAGTATACACACAATACAGTGCAATCATCATCCATTAATTCAATTTATTGTTTATAATTTTCTATTTTATACTTCATGATTAGATAGAAGTTTCTGTTTTGCTTTACTAAGCCCTTTTTAACCTGCTTACTTTATTTTCCTTAAGGGCTCTTATTTTGTCCTCCAAGTCCTGCAGAATTCTGTCCTGCTCACAGAAAATGCTCAATTTCACCTGGAAATGAAATCATACACACACATAAGGTTAGAATTTAAAAACCAAGCAGAAAAGTACCCCCTTGTAATATTTCACCCCAAGGAGCATAATAATGACCATGTAAACTGTACAAAAGAAGCAGACAAATCAGTGCAAGAGGTGCTGAAGTGGTGTTTGATACTTACATCAATATCACTTTCTGCAACCTTGACAGGTTTTGCACTTCTTTCTTTCAACGTGTCACGTCCTGTCACCTAAGAGGAACAGAATTTCAAAATGTAAGAAATTTGTAGCAAACTAAAACCTAATGATGCTTCAGCAATGAAAAGAAAGCTTTTGTTAAATATTCACTTTTATTAAGGAAAAAAAAGGATACAAGTGTTTTGAAATCTGGCTTTAGTTTTTGAGAAGTGTTAACAAAAGGGATTACTAGTTACATTAAGCTATTTAGTAACTCTTCCAGCAGCTTGGAATTCTGTACAAAACAACATAATCCCACCTGTCTCTGGTTACAAAAGTCCTTTTCCTGCAAGATCTGGTAGTTTTAACAGTTCTGCTCTAATAGCCTGCTTGAAGCCAAAGGAATGGAATCGTTCATTTAAATGCATGGTAGCAACAATAGCAGCATTCATGATGACTAAAAATACAACTTTTGGCAAGTGTTTCATTCTACAAAGGACAGTATCTTCCTCAAAATCCATCCACAGGGTGGATTTTACTAAAGACAGACTGCCATAAAAATGCTATAATGGAATGAAATGTAATTAATCTATTTTGACATGGCTGTCATGTACCAAATCTCTCATTCCATAAATCACTGGTTTCATATTCCATTTCTGGTGAGACTACCTTCTCACATAACAGTTTTAGAATCAGCACCAAAACAATACTCAATTGTACTTCCAACCTTCACATCAACCTTAAAAATTAAGGCATGTCTGTGTCTGTAGAAATGTTTATTATTTCCACTGCCTACACAGGACCCTCTTTGTGAACAAATGAGATTAAGAAAAGAGCAATATAATAAAGCTCATAAATAATACATTTTTTCAAAGCCTTAAAATCTACTGATTTAATATCATCTCTTTGGAACACTTTTAAAGATTCATTAGAGCAAACACTGTCTTACCACAGGGCCAGCTGGTGGTTAATAGTATTCATATACAGCATATTCTTATTCATATACAGGTAAAAGTTTATTGAGAAAAATTCACCTCAATATTGTCTTCAGTAATATAAGAGGAGAGATTTTGATACAAAAGCTGAAGTTGTTTGGTTTTTTTAGTGAGGTAAGAGGGGTATAAAGAGGCAGTTTGCCTTTTTACCAACTGGCAATCTCCAGACTTGAAGGTACATATTTTTCTTATTAACCTAAGAGTCACCTACAGGACCATATTAGCTTTTTAAAAGTAATTAAATTTTACCCTAAGTGAGGTAAATATCATCTTCTCTCCTCCAGTGGCAGACTCCATTTAAAGACTTCTCATGTACTTTTGAGTGGTAAAATATTACTTCTGCATCACCAAAATCAATAGTATTTATTGCCTCTAGAAGCTTTAATTTTTTTTTCAACAATTAGATGTTATGTAGAAGAAAAAACTGTCTTTCAAAATTATTAATGAAATTATTTAAATGCTAAATCCTATAGATAATTGTAACAATTAATTAAATATAAACATAAAATACCAGCATATCAAAAGTAATAATTCTGCATATTTAATTACCTGCAAGCTTAGGCAATGCAAAAGCCTTTTTCAAAGCAACAGAATTAACATAAAAACACATCTACAGAATCTGGGGATACTTTAAATTACTTAATCAGAACTGTAAGGAATTTGTTAACTATCAAGCAGTGAACATGACAACATAATGAGGATTAAGCATGCTTTCACATTTTCCAAATTCCACACAGGAGTCACTACTTGACACATTCATTTCCAAAACATGATAAAATGAAACCAAACACTGAGGTCAGCCATAATTTTGCATACAGACTCCAAAAGAGGGGGAGGAAAAAAAGAGAAGTAAAAATAAAATCTTACAGAAAGCACTACTGTGCACCAAAAGACACCTGTAAAAAGCCAGAACACTGACTGCTACTTGAAAAAGCGATGGGATGAGCACATTTCAATGCAAGCAGTCTTACATGTATACTGGATAGTAACCCTTGTGCTGAGTTCTTTAGCACTTTGTATATCATGTTGATCAGAGGTCCATTATTTTCTATCTGTTTCAAACAAAAGTTTAGTCATAGCTTGTTACAGACGTCAAGATTTAAACCCCCAAACCTCAGAACTCAAAACTCCATGAGCAGCAGTGATCACACACTCCCAGGTCACACCTAAGCACTCTGCAGTTAATTGCTCAACCACAATTCCACACTGAAAAGTTCTATTTCAAAACCTCTAAGAAAGATCTCCAGAAATAATGGATTTAGTGAAAAAAAAAAAAATTAACTCCAGTTCCAAAATGTTCAGTCCTAATTGAAATTGTTTCATCAGGGCGGGTCTAATTCAAAGCCCAGTGTAGTCAAAAGAGATACCTGAACTAATTGGCTTCCTATCCAAGTTTCCAGCCTCTTAAATGGAAGATATTACATACATGACCAGGGAATTTGCTGTTACTAAAATCTGTATCATTTGCTTCCTTTCATGCAGTGCACTGTTTTTTCCTGGTATCACAAATCAAAGCATTGCTACATTTAGTGACAAAGCACAAATGTAACCAATACAGGGACACCTTCTCCAGTTTCACATGGGCTCTTGAATCTCTCAACAACCTGACCTGAAATTTTACATTTCTGGACCACGACTGAAAGAAGGTTATTAAGAAATGTCCATTTTGAAAATTTACATCACTCATTTGGAAATACATCTGACAATTTGAGTGTCACGATTTTCAGAAGGAAACCAGCTGGCATTAAGTTTCTTTGCACAGAAGTATCAGGTGCCCCCTTACCATTTTTCTCTCTGGCTGCTTTTGTTAGGTGCTACAAGCAGTAGGAAGGCACAGGGGGAGCTCTAAGAGACCAAATATGTCTTCATGCTCCAGACTGCAACAAATTAATCTGGACAGAATCCACCAAAAAGTTAAGAACTGCCCCCCAAGAATTTTGCTAAGCATATCACATTTTCAGAAGCTTGACCTGTGGTCACTTCAACTGTGAAAATTATTGTGTTTTATAATGGAAAAAAGACTGTGATTATTAATAATTTCTCACCTTGTAGGATTTATAAAATTGTAATTTGTCATAAAATTCATCTGATGGCTTGGGCTGCAGTTACATTTGTCAAAGCCATGAACAAACCAAGGACAAGGCTTAAAACCAAATGTGTCCAACCAATTTTAAATTTGTATACTAATGATTCCAGCAATTTACATATTTGATCATTTAGATTACACATACATCACCTATATTATATGCTAAATACATATATGGTTCTGTAGTAATATTTTCCATGTATATATTTGTTTATATATTCAGGAATTCAAATATCAGACAAGATTGACATACACATCCTCATAGGTGCAATGAGCTCACAGGCAACACCCCATGGCACCAGTGAGCTCTGTACATGCAAACCAGCAGATAACAAGGTGTTAAATTTCCCTTCACCTTCATTTTCAGGAACACCACGTGATTTATACAAGGCAAGACATCCTACATCTAACAGAAAGTGGTAAACTACTTTGCTAAGCAAAACAATTCTATCTTTTTGCTGGGTTTTTTTCCCCTTCAAAACCTGATATTAAGAACTCTAGATTTGCTTTCAAATTGCCAACCATCAAGTGTACCAGACACAGAAGTCATTTAGACAGATGATAGGATCCTCAGTATAATATGGAATTCTTTTTCAAAAAGAAATACCTCCTAACATTACTTGATCAGATTCTCTCTATGGATGGATGGATGAATGGGTGCATTTGAAATACTTTAGCTGTAATAACATGAAAACAATGACAGTGATAATTAATCACATTTTCACAAGAATATATGGTACATTATACAAATAATGGAAAAGTAAGTCTAAGAAGATTTAAAGGGGAAAAGCTGGATTAAAAGAACACGAGTTTTAACTTAGAGGTGCTGACTTCATATTAGTACTAATGCTACAGCAGAGAAACACTTTCAATCTGTTTTTTCTATGACTTCCCTAAACCCACATATCATCCATCTCATTACCAGGAACAAAAGTTGTTCTTACAAACTAAAGCAACCACATTTTCTGAGTTTTACTTTAATTGTATAGTCACTACTAAAAAGACACTCAATACTCTAAGCACAAGCAAAAGACACTTTCCATCTCAGACTAGAAAGTTACTTTAAAATTTACAGGTACAAACACAACGCAAAAAAGACAACTGGATTGAAAAGATGATAAAAAATTAAGTAGACTAATCTAAAAGTCTTACCTTTAGATCCAAATACTCCAGATCCTTTTTCAACTGGATGTAAGTGTCATCCGCCTTCAGGCAAGTACATAGGGAAAAAACAGTGTAATAAATTTGAATGTTTGGAACCATTTCAGAATAGCTGGACTTGCTATATACAAGAAAACACGGAAGAGAGAACAAAATAACAGAGTAGGAGAACATAAAAAAAGCACATTTGCTCCACCAGCATATTGTTATTTAGAGCTAAAAAATGGGCAAGATATTTCCCAAGAGTATTACTGCCTCATTACCCCCCCCCTCCAAACACCTAGATTTTTGTTTCCACCTCTAATAGGACATAGAACTACCTGAAACAACACATCTTCAAAAGCTGTTTTTTCAAGATCAATTTCCACTGACTAGCCCTTCACTGAAAAAGTTACAGTGGTGTGACTGAATGACAGATGTAACCAGAAGACATCATGTAATATATCACTAGAATACTTTTGATCACAATTTATAAGCATTTTAAGATAGGGAAAGTATGAAATAAGTTTTGGGAATAAAATTCTGAAAAAGAGCTCATTTATATGATTAGACAATCCATTTTGTCTTTTAAGTAATAGCATTAAAGTTGATCCTTATTTTTCATTGCCTCACCTGTAATTGCTATCAGCTTGATCTTAGAGTTACACTCACCTACCAACATCTTTATTACAGTCCCTTCTAGGAAAACATGCACAGAAGTCATAACAAAGTTATTTCTCCTCTCTTGAAAGGCGATATTTGCAAAACAAAACAAAGTTTAACTGTTGCAAATGTGCTACTTGTAGTTAGCCAAAATGCCCAAAACTTCCTAGAATTTAAACTGCTATTTTGTCAGCATTTCATATCCTGGGTGCAATTAACTTCAAAATAAAAGAAAAACACAACTATACCTTTTCTCAAGTTTTGAGCCAATGAGAATGTGTAGTTAGAAAAAGAAAAGAAAAACCCTTTATGCCATAAAATCAATAGAACGCACTTGCATTTCTTTAGAGGTGTTCACTTACAATTCTTGTCAGATCAGCTTGTAAGACTGGCTGAGACTTGACTAAAAAGTCTGCCCATTTTTGGAGAAATCCCTGTTATTACCACCCATCTTAGTGCAATTGTTCTGTAGGTGAGGTAATCGGGAAATGAAACTTCTTCAATTCCAAAAAATCACTTTAGTTTTGGGCCAAAGCCTTCACCAATTCCAAGAAGAGTCACCAGATTTTATTCCCAGGTGGCTCCATTTTTGAGGCTCTAACAGGAACCGGAGAGCTCTGCGAGTACATTTCTGTTTGATTTCACATTTACAAGTTTCACACACCAGAGCAATCAAGAGCACCGTAGATGATCCAAGACGCTCCTGAGCTTTTATGAACCAATGTTCACCTGCAGAACTGACACAGTTACAAGCTCATATGAATGTACAGACTGGCTGATGCATTTCAATTTGCAGGTGATGCAGCACATGGCACAGGGAGCCAACCCCACCTTGAAAGCAGCACAAAGAAATGGTTTTGCTTCAGAATGAATTTATACAGTATTTGAACCCACATTTCTGAAGATGCAGCATTTTCAGAAATAGTATAAATACACAGTATAAAAAGGCAGTAGACACTTTGAAACGGATGCACTGGCGCCCTGTAACTTAAAAATGCTCATCTCTTATAGCAAATACAGTAAGCAAAGAAAAATCACAAACGACCTGGGCACTGTAGAATACCAAAGAATGGGCAAAGAAGCACAGACTCAAGCATGCCACTAATGAAGCATTTGCAGAGTCACAAAATGTCACAGATGAGCCACGCAGCAGCTGACCTGATAGGTGGAATTAGTTGGCAAGTGCTGCAGTAACTGAGCGATTGTGTAATTTCTTATACTAGCCAACTTAGCCTGATGTCTCCTTAATCGAATGAGAAGCAATGTTAGCTCTTCAGGCTGCAGGTATTTAGACACATTGTAAAGAGGAAATTAGCAGTCTTCAGGGAGAGGAACTATAATTACATTTTTCACCTCAGTGCCCAGAAAGCAGTTACTTGACATGATTAAGCAATTATTTAATTAACTCTGCATTTGGTCAAACAAACATAATAAAACTTGAATCCTGTAATAACAGAAAGCTCACCCCTCCTCATGTCGCAGATAAAGGCAAAAATCCTACAGGCTTTACTGGGTTAAGATTAAATTCTCATTCGAGTTATTTATGCTTTAACTAATACAGTTAAGATTAAAGACTTTGGATTTCAAAACCTGGCTGCACTAGTGGGAGGACAGGACAGGAGCCGTGCTCTGCACTTACCGACTTGCCGTGCAGGCTGGGCGCGCTCACCGTGTGTGTCATGTAGCCCATGGCGGGCATGGAGCGGCGATCCAGGTGCGTGGAGCTCTGCAAGGATCCACAGCCACAAGGTAAGGGTTGGGTCAAGTGCCAACTGCAGCAAATTCAGGCTGCAGCTCTGCCACAGGTTTTCTATTTGAATTCAGGGCGGGCTTAGAACAGGGTAACGCACGCTGGCCAGCCTGATCCTTTGATGATAAAAAACTTGTGAATGAACAAACACAAATTCAGCACCTGTGATGCTGGGCAGAGCAGTGGATTGTGGCAGCATGAGATGCTTCAGCAGAACGTGCAGTGTAGCTTCCAGCAAATTTTTTAAAAGTTCATCAAGCTCCCCCCAACACAATGTCTCCCAGAAAAAGGTTTGGTTGGATGATGCTCTCCGACAGCAGGCTTCCACTGCACATAGTAAACACCACGAATGCTCTCTTTTAGCCAGGCTACATGAAGCTACTGACATGACTGACACCTTGTGGCAATGGCTTCCATCAATACCAAGGGGTTTTTTTAATCATCATCTTTGATCTGCCCCCTTCTGCTTACAATAAGAAAGCTTACTGCACACTCATTCTTTCATCTTTCTCTTAAAGCCAAAGTCCTATGGCTTCTTCAAGGCAGACTAAATGTCTCAGTTATTTTTATTCCTGTATCTGAACTTCACTGAATTTGCCTCACCTGCCTTGTTGTTGTTTTTTTTTTAAATGCAACTGGATGGAATTTAATAAAGCAGTTCAGGGAGCATGGAGTATCATGGATTTATGCAGACACATTTAAATGTAAAATGTGTGCTTACATAGAAAAACATGAACATTTTTCTCTACAAACTTTCACAGAAGTTCCACAGGGAAGTTTTTATGATGAGGAACTGTTTCCCAATACTGGTAAAGCCAAGATGCCATAAAAAGAGCTTAAAATTTATGCAGTTACGTTGCACAGGAAATGAAGACTGCTGTACATGCCTTTGTAAGGATGCAATGCTCCTTCAACTTACAGGTGGAGAAACCAATGTGTAGTAGAATATAACCAGGAGTTAAAAGTATTAATTTCCAGTTCTGCAAATCACTAGACTATTTCACCCTCTGACAGAATATTAGAAATCTATAAATGCTGAAAGACACCCAACAGCTGCACCACATATACACTGGAAAAAATCTACACTGTGCACGGAGCTGCAGCACAGTTTCATGCTGTGTTTAGGTCCTAAACCCACTGGGTATCTGGATTTACAAGATCTCTCCTGTAAATACCTCCCCTTACCCCTTTGCAATACCCTTTGCAAATACCTTCCCTTATCAGAGCCCATGGCTGAGGTCGAAGATTTAAGTGAATACAGAGGCTTTCAATACCAATTATTCCAAATCTACCAAGACAAATCAATCCTTCATTGATTCAACACATATTTCCCCAAATTCCTTAGGCAACTAGAGCATTTGGAGTACTGAATAGGGAAACCTATAGGAAAGAGGGTACAAAAGCCTCTAGAAAAAACCCTCACACTGAAACCAATCCGAAAGGTGAAGCTTCAGACCAACACTATTTGAATTTGGTTAGCCCACTGATAAAGACTCTGCAATGGACCTGAAATATTAATATATGTATTAATATATGTAGTAATAATAATAATAATAATAATAATAATAATAATAATAATAAGGGGTTTACCATAACTAAAACCAGAATCAGCTGCATGACTTACTACAACAGCAAAACACATAGAGGAAGCAGGCACAGCAAACACAAAGCTACAAGCAAAAATAAATAAACAAAAAATATTCCATCCTGCTGAGTTTCAGATTCTTGCCTTCATACTCTCTACATTAAAATACTACCATCTGTACATTTTATACATGTAAGATATGCCTTCCTGATTTTTATTAAAAGTATTCCATACCTATGTGATGTGCCATCAATTTTCCTTTCCTAACCAACAAAAGTTATAAATCTGATCAGAATGGCAAGAGCTTGAGGAGAAAATTATTCCTTGGATTAGCTTTTACAACTCACATGATCTTTCACACACGAGGAAGGATGCAATGAATCATGACTAAATAACCCCCCACGTGTGACACCACGTATAGAACGGTTTGTCATTAAACAGGTACCAACCTTTACAGCACGATTCCGAATCTTCCTGGGGGATCCAGCAAGAGGCACATCCACAGTCTGTCTCTCATCAGATGGTTTAACTGTGAGCCTTTCTGCAGGAGTATGTGGCCTCCGTGGGAGAAAGTTTTTTGGAGGCCCAGGTGGAGGAATATCAGATGGAGAGGGCGGAACAGATATGGACCGTGGAACATCTAACGAGCTTTTTGACTTCGCACGATCAATGAAGTCTGAGGAACCTACATAAAGTGGGGCTGTGGGGCTGCCATGTTTGAACTGCTGCCTCTGCTGCCACTCGTACAGCTGCCAAACAGTTCCATCCTTATTTGCTTTCCTCTCCTCCTGGGACATCTTCAAGTGGCTGACGCGATCTTGTGCATATTTGTAGTCACTCGGCAGATTGCGGTTTGGTGGTGGTGAGCTCCCTGAAGGCTGCCTGGTATTCTTTGGCAAAGTGTGATAGTTCTCAGGAAAAGGAGGATTGGGACCCTGACGTGTAAGAGTCTGATCAGAAGTGAGGCTGGAAAAAAAAAAAAAAAAAAAAGGGAGGAAAATTTTAGCACACACTGGTAAGTGGGAGTGACTGATAAAAAACACCTCTAATGACACAAGCATTGGAGCTACAAGACATATAACAGACATTTTAACAGAATTTACAGAAATATTAACAAAGCAATATTAATGACATCTATCCTGCACACAAACACTACACTGTATAAATACAGGATTTTAATTTATTGTTTAGCCAGGATGAAGTACTAGAAACAAACTTAAGGAACGGCAGCATTATGTAGTTGAACTAAAAAGAAAATCAAGAACACGAAGAAAGGAATTATTGTCATGTTTATCGAGTGAGTCCCGATTTAAAATATTCCTGTTCACAGAAAGCGTGCTCACCACTAGGTGGTGCAGTTTACGAAAACAAATGCATGTTCAAGATAAATATCTTTAAAAGGAAGATGAAATCTCACCAATCGCAGAATATCTCATAGTTTTTGTTCTTGTGAATAAAGCAAAAAGAAATAAAATGGTAAGAAACTGCTCGAAGTCTGCAGGTCGGTATGATTATTTTCACCTAAAAATAGTGAAACTGCTACTGCTTCTACTGATTTGAGCAACATGAGACTTTTTACAACAAAAGTCATTGACAAATTAGAATATAAAAAGAAGTATTACATCCTGGCTTTAGTAGAGGACCCATAAAACACTTAAGCTGTACAAACTAGATATTTTAGTAGGTAGTGTTAAGACAGAATTGGCAAAAGCTTTGACAAAGCCTAGTTAGCTCCCTCTCCTCCTTTGAAGACAAAATCTTTCTGTAGACTGCCTGTCTAATTTCTGATTCTTCCATTAAATATCCGGGGGTTTTGTACTTGGAGTCATTTGCCCATTGATTCAGAATCTCCAAAGAGAAAACCATTCTGCTAGGCTTGCTACAAAGCATCAACACAAAAAAACCCACAAAAAACCACAAAATTAAAAAAAAAACAGCCCAGCACAAAACCCCACAAACAACGAAACTCCAAGCATATTTTCATCACTTCACTCAGTAAGTTCCACTCTGCACGAGAGGGAGACCTCATGGTTTGGAAAATGCAGGAATTCCACCTGAAAAAAAGGCCAGGATGGAGAAGAACATCTTTGTTCGGCATCCAAGAATAACTGAAGCAAGGAGGAATAAACTGCTACTAGCTACCAGCTCAGTAGTTGCCACCATCCTTTTTTACTTGCAGGATTTGACACTGTGGACTGCCTTAAAATATGGATAATCTCAAGAGGATACAAAACTCCTCAGGCCAGCAAGTAGAATAACTGCCCTGCACTGCCTGGAGGGTTACAAATCTGTAAAGGCTCTGCTCTCTCATACCACAAAATCTTCATGTTACCTTGAATTTCAGAGTGAAGGTTAAAGCAAGCAGCTAGTATGAACACAGGCAACTCAAAGATCAGCATACAGTGGTCATGGAACCCCTTTTAATTCTCTAATTCATTGTATTACATGCACTTTGAATGTCCTGTACTTTGCTGCCAATTTTTTCCACAAGAAAACATGTGGTAGAAAGTTGGTAGAAATGTATTTCCTCTAGATAGCAGTAAGAACCAAGAATGCTTGGAGGGGATAATGCTTCAAAAGGACATCTGAGGCAGGCATGAAACTTAGATTCCTTTGGTGATTTCTCTGTGGAAAAACAGAGAAGGGGGACTTGACCACTCCTATATCCCAATTTAGTGAAGACCTCATGAAGGCCTAAGCAAACTATCAGATGTTGCAAACCACCTGTGTGTGATTATTTTCTAACGGGACATTAAAAGGCAGAATATTGAGATCAGCTGGAATTGGTGGCAGTCAATGGAGCCACCAGGGCTGGCAGCTTTAGGAGCAAAGCCAACCTGAAAACAAAGACAACATGAATTTTGTTGGGGGCAAGGGGAGCCATGCCTTCCTTCTAGAAAAGGATGGATTTTTTAGAGAAGAACTAAAAACTGTTATTTTGAAAGCAGTACGTGGAGCAGCTGACATGAGCCAGTTTCATGCAATACTTCAGCCTGCTATAAAAAGAGAACAAAGTTGAATGTGGATAACATTGCACAAGGAAAGTCACATTCAGAGCTGAACTTTGGAGGCAACTGCCTACATACAGGCACATTGTGTTTTCTCAGTATCTGAAGAAACCTAGGGAGAAACCTCAAGCTGAGATGACAGGCTTTAAGCTGGTAGCATCTCTTCCACACAAGGTTTGAGATGCTTAAGAGATAATTTGCATCATATAAAAATAGGCTCTGAGATGACACACAAACTTCTAGGTAAAGAACCATGTCCCAAACAGTTCAAATTAGTCCACAAGGGACTATTGCTTTCTTAGAGATTATGAGCAAAAGTGAGCAAAAGCAGCTGTTCTTGAGAATCTCCCTCATTTGAATGATGAGGTATAGAGAATATAAAAAGGAAAGCAGACATTAAAGAGTGCATAAATGGCCTGATGTCATATTATATGACCATTGGCCATGAAAACTTTCAGGGTCTTTAATGGGAAGCAATCACACAAGAAGACATTGTAAAAAGAGAAAATAGATGTTCAAAAGACAACAAGTACTATTATTAGAAACACTCTGCCCATTCATGGGAATGCACAGAAGTTAACAAAGACAAGCAATGTTTCTTCCTTAAGCAAATCAGGAAGGAACAGAAAGTTCTGCATAACAAGAAAGGTTTTAAACACCATTTGCAAGGAAGGAAGTATCACAACATGACTGAATCTAGTGAGGAAATATTAAGCTTAATTGGCTTTATATATTCCTAAAATGCAAGTAAACTGTTAGAAATAGCAAATTCTTTATAGTTATGCACTAAGTTTATACAGGCACTGGAACCAGATCAAAACCTAACAATTTCTGAACAGCTGCCATTTGATGGTCCTGACCTTGACCTTAAACTTAACCCAAAACCTCCTGAAAGCCTTCTTTCAAACTTTCTTCCAGTTCTTGAGATCTCTCTGAAAGGCTGGTATGAGTTTCACCAAAGCAGGTATTCCCATCTGCTGAGAATAGAGCGGGATTCGATGGCCACACTGGATGTCACTGGAGTGCAGCTGACAGGTCGCTAAGAGAGGTGGGTCCCCAAAGTGACAGCTAACATCTACAACTCAGCAGAGTGCTTCATTAAAAAGGGAAGTCAAACATCTATTTGAAAGGTCTGAAGATCTTTATAAAAGGTGCCATTCCTACAGGCAGTCACATGAACAACCTCAGTATTTGTGTGAACCCTTTAGCTGAAAGGCTTCTTTCTTGTCGTAAGCAACTTGCTGGCAAGCACTGCATCTGTACACACCTGAGCCAGGAAACAAATAAAAACTGCACTCATTCTGTGCTCAAGAACCACCCAGCCCTCTGAATCCTCAGAGGTTCTCTATTTGTAACATTTCAGCTGGAATATCAATCAACGTGGAACTTTTAAAAATTAAGTGCTCTACTACTACCTTCTAAAATCAAAACAAAATGTCAATCCAATTATCATCTCTAGCTTAAATTTCTACACCATGCAATCAGGAAGATATTTGACAACTAACATTCCACTTCTATCCATCATTTAACAACAATGCAGAAACTCAGCAGGCTAAGAGAAGGTGCCATTTAAAAGATGACTCTGTTAATCTTTGGGAAGGTAACATGCAATTTATCCTGAATGCAGAGACTATAATGGCATTTGTCAGGAAAAGGCAAAGAAAACAAGGTCAACTGCGCCAAAAGAGCCATTTTTAGAGATATGTATATGCAGATATAGAGCTATATCTAGAAATAGATACACACAGACATACATACATCCATCTATCTTTATTTTCACTGAATACTTAGCAGCTCCAGCTGAGGTAGCTGGTTTCTCCTAGAACAAAGCCTGGCACCTGCAACAACACTATCTTAACACTGCACCTGATACACGCCCCTAGAGTTAATTTACTGGAAAGAGTAATTTGGAAGAAAACTATGCTTATTTAGCTATCTGTCAATCCTGCCACTGCCAGGATTTCTGATGTAAAAAACATCAACAGAAGCTTCTTAAGCATTAGCTCATTAGCTCAATTGGTTTCTGTATTATTTCAGGGAAATCAATGTGTGTAATAAGAACTAACTTACCAAATACATTTTTTCATTAAACTCATATTCTTTTGGGAAGTCCTGATTGATATTCAAGTAAAAAAAGATGGAAGTTCATTGACTCTAGCAGTCTAAAAGAATATTAAATAATATTAAAAAGTAAGAAAATTTCTTCAAGGGTAATTTCAAAAATAAAAGAGCAGAAGAATGAACTTCCACACAAAGTCTTACTGGCTCCAAATTGACAAACATTAGCTTAAAAAAGCATTTTAAAAATGCCCAAAATGTTTTCTCCATCCTAAAAACCACATGCCAATGCCTCTTGTTTGTTTATACTATAATTAGATTTGAGCAGATTTATAAAACACTAATTCAGTAGAATAAGCATGTTTGAAAAATCCTCACAAGTAGCATCAAGTCCAACTGTTTTTCCTGCCACTTGACACAAGGTGACATTCTGAGCAGACACACACATTCATCACTTCATTTCTCCAACTGGTACTTAATCTGACTTTGAAAGCAAAACAATTATGAGATTTTCAAACTACAAAAGCATTCCAGTGTGCATTTCACCTACTGGTACTATTGATGCCATTTTCAGGGACTGAAAATGGAAAAGAGAATCCCAGAGACCATCCTAGGATGTCTTCATTAACTAAATGAATATATGGAGACTTTCAATATGTGTTAGACACACTGTGACTCTGAGTGCAGTGATCTGACATAGGGGAGTGAATGTGTGTTTGGAACAGGAATAGAACAAAGAAGGAAAGTAATGAGCATTCTTTACTTTTTGAAGTGGAAAGCAATTACCTCTAACTTATATTGTGTAATTGTTTATGAATAAGAGGTAACTGAGGGTTGCACTTCACTTTCTGGCTCTTCAAAATTTAAGCAAATTTTAAGAAGTTTTAAGCATCGACAGTGATTAAAAGAAGGAAAATAAAGTAGCATGCTAATGTCACTTATTCTGTTTGCAACACTGTGACAACTTTAAAGAGATTTGATTAACCAATCCCACATTGGCTTTCCCAGGAGATAAATGCCTGAAAAACACCATATTGCACTGAAGGAAAAAGTAAGTCTTCTTACATATTGTCTCTGTAAATTATTGTTCTGATTTGCACCAAAGGTATTATTACTAACACACATTTTCCTTTAATTTAAGAAAATGCCACTAGGCCATCTAGTTAAAGACTATTACTAACCTTTTTGTATCTCCTTTCTGGACTTTTACCCAGTGCTCCACTTGAGCCATGTTACTTTTCCTTTGAAACTGCTTATCTGGATTTGTTCTGGGAACAAACCCTCTTTTATATGAGCCGGTACCATTCTGCTCCACTAGGCCAGCACCCACACTCAGTGAACTAGGGAGCGTTCCATTCTTCTCAGCTGGCTGAGGCTGAGCTACTTGGGACCAGGATGCATTCCTCAAGTCAGGGAATAATGAATCAGCTTCTGTCACTGCATGCTTAGCCTTTCCCTTTTTGGTTTCCAGATTTTCTTTTCTGTGGACGTAACGCTCCTCCTCCTCCTTTTCTCTTCTTATCTCTTCCCGCTTATCATATCCGAGCATTTCAGCTGATTTCTGATAACTTCCTTTTGTGTCCGTGATCTCTGCCTTCACACACTCTTTGCAGGCATCCACATGATTGACCTGGGGAACAGCTTGCTGATCCACTTTTTCAGTTTCCCTGAAAAGAAAACAGGTGTCAGTAGTGAACACTGTTTAATTGAGAAAAGTTGGTGTGGCCTCTTTTACAAAGGATACCCACAAAATTACCGTCTGCAGACTGTGATAAATTTGACATGTTACAATAAATATGCTCAGCAAAACTCAGTTGCTATTCCAGTTAGACAAAAGTTACTTTTATTGTGCTGTCAAGGAAGCAGAAATGACTTGTATACATCTCTAAAAATGACTGAAAATACTGGTATTGTATGGAAGAAGTGTTCAACATAACATTATGTACAAAAAAGCTGTAAACAAAAAAATCTTCCTGTCCTAAGAAACACTGAAAGCCAAAAAACTGAAACTAAGCTTCCAGCTGCTCATGGCAAAATATAATAGAAGTCTTTCATATTTTTGTAAATGTCTCAGGGACTACTCACTTCTGGCCAAGAGGACAGGGCAGTATCTACATTTAAGTCACTACTATTGCCCAGGGAATTTCTACTGGGGAGCTACTCCTGAAGAAAAAAAAATTGCTCCATGCTGCAGTGCACACTAGTTTTCTTCTCTACCTTATAGCCTAAATAATATCAGAAATCTTGATATTCAATTTGAACACACTATAAAATGGCTGAGGATTCTGAAAGGTTCATGTTTCTTTTGACATATAACATACTTCATTTGCAATTTTCTTCATCTCCTTGTAACAATAAGCTTCTCAGCAACTTTTCTTCTCACACAATGTAATGGGTTCTCCCTGACCTCAGGGTAGCACCCCATCTCTGAAACTAAGTTCAGCTTCTTTAAAGCTTTATGGAAAGTAAATTCGGAAAGTAAAAAAGTGCCATGACAAAATTGTTTTCACCTCAGTCTAATTGGAAAAGAATAGTCTACTTAGGAGTAAGGACCTTGGATCAATACTTCTAATGTGCCAGACTTCCCCAATTTTTCTTTCAATTATTCCTGTCCTTACAGAGACAGAGGTACTAGATTGTTTATTGAAATTTAAATTAAATCTAGAAAGTCTTAACACAAAACCATATCAAATGTAAAGCTCTAGAAGAGACACTGATTCCTTCCTTATATTTGACTGGCCAGAAGAAAGCAGCATGAGATACTCAGGGAAAGTGCACCATAACATTTCAACCCTCACAGCCCACAGTGGCTAAAGCAGGGCTGTCTCACACAGCAGGGCTCCTTCACATGGAGGAGCAGGGAAAGAATCACATTACAAAACCAAAACATCAAGAAGGCTACATCAATTTAAAGCAGAGGAAAAAATCTGGAAGCACATTTTGGCACAGCTGAATTTTTTCATTATTAGTTCATACCTGCATAAATTACTTGATATCCATTAGCTCTATGCACTTATGATTTACCTGTCTTTAGCACTCTCTTTCCCCTTTACAGCACCTCAGTCTTATTTCTCATTGAAACAAATCATAAAATTTCTTTTCTCTTTTACTTCTCTCCCCCAAAGGCAGCCAACTGGCTGTGGCAGGTATATGAATTTGCCCACAGAAACTGGAACTTTTTACCTGAAATTCCCTAAATTATTATATAGAGAGATTCCCTAAATTATTATATATAGAGAGAAATTAATCATGGTCACTAAATGTGGGCAAACAATTTGCATGCATACACAGATACTGAACACCAGGTCTCCTTAATTAATACCAGTTAACTATTTTGCAACAGAATAAATTAAAAATAATTAAAGAGAAATTAAATTTAAAATAAAGAGAAATAAATTTAAAAGAATTAAAAATAATTCTTTAAAATATGAAAGAGTTTTATGAACATATCTACAAACAGCAGCGTCAGATACCACCACGGATGCGATTTATGTAAGACGTTAAATTTTTGTAAGAGGGTAAGGGGGTTTTTTTTTTATGTAAGATATTAAATTTTTTTTTTTAAATTTCTGAGTGGAACTTGCCTCTTGAGTGAGGAGCGTGTCTGCATGAGAGCAGCCTGGTTCATAGCCCGGATCCAGGCGTTCATATCCTCCTGGGTGTCAGCACTGAAGTAGTACGTCCTCATCCCTGTGTGCTCTGCCTGAGAGCCAATGACAGAATTCTTGTTATAGATGTATGCCCTCATACCTGTGTGAACAGCCTGGAAGAAAAAAGAAGTAAAAGTCAGACAGCTCTTTCACCTTTTCCCCCCCAGAAATTAACTTTAAAACAACTTTTCCTTGATGGCTTTTTGAATTTGGGGTGAATTATCACGCTACCGCAATGGGCTGTAAGGGCAGTAAACTCAAAAGGCACTCCAAGTTTTACTGAAATTCTTCTGCCTCATTCTAGGACTATTAAGCTGAAAATCCAGTGCTTCTGATTTTCACAGTGGGAAATTTCAGCTTTTCTTTTTCTTTTAATTGATACATTTCATTTGCCACAAATACTGTACTAAACAAGTTAAAGAAATCCCTATACTGAACAAATTTAAGAAATTCTCAATGAGATGAGCATCAGCAAGTCAATTTTCCCAGCTCATTTATTAAAGAAATTTATTCAGACAAAACATAGACAAAAATCTTACCTTTTAAGCAATTAAACTGCTAATTTAAGAATTGATTACAATGCATGTTAGGATCTTTTGGTTAAAGTGTGCACTTGAACACGTATTAGCTGTAAATTCACAAGACTTACTGATAAAAGTTAGTAATACTGATGGAATTATCACAGCACATAAAACACTGGCAATTATCTCTGCACACTAAAATTCTCCATGAAATTCCACTGCAAACTAGAGGTATCAGGCAATTTCTCTATAAATATATTCAATATTCAAATGGATTCAATGTGGAATATCTTTGTAACTCTAGGCTAGTTGAATTTAATAAAATCTTATCCATATTTGTATTAGCAATAGTATAAAGATTACAAAATCATGTAAGCCCTGCAACACTTCAGATTAGAAGGGAGATATTCATCTCTTTACTTTCCAAAAAAACTGAAGACAGTATACTCTGCTTGAAAGCTCTTGTAATGATATTAAAATGAAATTAGTAATTAAAGCTTATTTTTATAAAACTAAGCCTGCTATCACACACAAAAACTAATAGCATTAAGTACTGCTGAGATGGGTTTATTTTAAGAAGAAAAAGAATTATATCAAATTTTTAATTTGGCTACATCTGTTTCTAAAGGATAAACGTGCTCTGTAAATCCTGCCTAAATAATTGGTCTTTTTATATTGATGATATCCTCTCCCCCTTGTTATTCTAACTCAAATTTTAAAAAAATTATTGTAGAGACAATCACAGATGGCTTCAGAAATACAATAGTCTTGACAAAACCCAGGCTATTTAATGCAATGCAGCCCTTCCTAAACATTCTAACTTCAGTTGTTTACCAAGAATTTCCCAAATTACCATGACCTCACAGACTTGTATCAACAACACCAAAGAGCAAAATACGTGCTTGCTATTACAGTGCTTTTAAGCAAGTTCTGTGCAGAATTTCCTCCCTTCCTCTGGCAGGCTGCTCCCCTGAATGTGTGAAACGTGGCCTTTCCCTTCTGTGCCTCAAGCAAGGAAGGCTGAGCCTGTTTTGAAAACTGGAGACTGAAGTAGAACAGCCAGCTAGAAAAAGGAGGAGGAGGAGGAGGAGAAGGAAGAGAAGGAAAAGGTTACATAAAGAAGTCAAGACTCTCTCCTGTTCAGAAGAGGCTGCACTTCCCAACAATATTGGCCAAAAAGGGGAATACAAGGTGGTTTCTTCTCAATTCCCACCATTAGCTGCTCCCCTGAACACAGGAAAACAGGACTTATACTAAACAACAGCTCTGATCAATCACATATTTAGAAATCAAAGGACTTTATTCATGTTTGCCTGGTTGAGTTCTTTGGTTTTTCTTTGGTGTCATTGGGGGTTGTCTTTTTTTCCTCCATTTTCTGAACACAAGAATGCTCAAAGCAAATATGATTTAGAAGCATTAATTAATTATAATTTACAGTTACCATCCAGTGTATAAAGAGACCAAAAACTGGCAGCTCCAGATATAAAGGAAAAGGGTGACTTTAATGTGAGACCTCATGACTACAGAGTTCCTTCACGAAGCAGGTTGATCCCACAGAAGGTGTTAAAATTCAGAAGTGAATCAATTCCTGCAGCAAAGCAGACTATGCGTGTCCCACTGCAGATGATGCAGTAGGACCCAACTCTTCACTGGTTTAATACTTGCTTAAAAACCCCAGAATTTTGGGGAACTATCTGCAGAGACTGCACAGCGCACCAAGAAATGGATTTAACAGATGTCTTAATTGACCTGTATGCCCTGATCAACACAACCCACTTGTGTTTTAGGTTTCTCTCTGAACACAGCTGCAAGCACTGCCTAAGAGGCTGCAGGTGAAAACAGTATCAAAATGCAAACTGTGCTGCACCACTCTCTCTTGAGAGACTGAAGCTCTCACAGCCACAAACATTCCCAGCTTCAGAAGGGATAGTGGAGATGGTGTGTGATTATCAACAAACACAATATCCTGAATTTCACAATGTATAACACTGGTTAAGGGAAAATTCAAATTGATTTCAGTTATTTATTAGTAGTGTGTTTTAAATGCAAGAAAACAACTTTGTGCCAACATCCTGTTAGCTGTCCCTGCTGACAGAAAGAAGCTAGTAGGCCTTTTGGGTTTGGGATTTTTTTTTTTTAAAGCCAAAGCTATTAGGATGGCTACAGCATACTAAAAAGCCTAAAACACAGCACATGCTCACATATACACCATACACACAACAGGGAAAAAATAATATTGGTACCTATTCATGCATTCAGATGCCTTAATGTGGATAGATTGAGAAGAAAAGCAGTCTCTCTCCCATTGTGCACAGTAGGAGAAATGGACAGTAAACCCCAAGAGCATATCAACAGGACAAGGACAAAAAATTAAACAAGTTAAAATCATTAAAAGATTCATATTAAAAAAAAGAAAAAACAACAAAACCCCAAAAACCACCTAGCAAAAAACTGCTAAAAGTAACTAATGCCTACAGCTATTTTGTTCACCTCGACTTGTTCAAAATACCTAAGACAGAAAAGCCACCATTCACAGAACAAAGGGATAACTAAAGGAACAGTTTTCTAATAACTGTAATCTTTCCAAGTTAGTTCTGTCAATGACCTATAATATACAGAAAATTCTTCCTTCCCCTGAATTTTGATATTTCTGAACTCTTTCTGAGCAAAAATTGAAATAACGCTCTGAGCCTCCGCTACGAACTCAACAACAGCCCACTACAACCTAACTCATCTTTCACTCTTAAATAATACTGAGCTTTTTGAGGATTTCTAGAAGCCTGAACCCTTCCCTCTCCCAAATTCAAAACCAGCACTTCTCAAATTTACAACCCTTGGCATTTCTTCACCTGACTCCCCAGACCAATATGGGAGCCTAAGAAAGCAACACTGACTGAGGGAACATAAAGGAAAAAATAGGTCTTTTTTTTTTTTTTTTTAGGAAAACCAGTGAAATCAAAGAAACAGACAGGAAGTTTGTCCTGGTTTCACTTGTCTAAGCAATGAACAAATACTTCCATTAGTAAGACCAATTAAAAATAATTTTCCTTATCTGAGGACAACAAGGCTTCGAAAGAGACTGTGATGACGTGAACCTCCAGAAACTGATCCTACTATTCCTGTCCAAAAATATTGCATAACTGCAAAATACAGCCACTTCTCTGCTAATCACAGGAAGTATTTCCAGCTATATATGAATGCTCTGCAAGCCTTTTCACATCAAAATCTAAACAATGAATTTGTGCTCACTCATATTGATACCAACAAAAAACTATTCTTTTAAAATGCAGCTATTAGATTAACTAAATATATTTAGGATGTGAGCTGCTGAACTAAAAATGCAGTAAGGACCCTCAGTTCTAGGGTCACACACAGCTTAGTGACAGTGGCTTCCAGCTAGTCACAGCACTTTGCTTGGCACAAATAGAGAAGAGTCAAAAAAGAGTCAAGATTCAAAAATTGTATCAAGATAGAGACCTAAAAGCACAGTTTCTAAACAAAAGGAATTAAATGCACATACTGATATATTTCAAAGTAGGGGTTTGATTGATTTCAAAAGCCCATAGGCTGTTCTGCAGGCCTGTAATTGTTAAACACCCAAAGAGACACAAAAACTTAAGCTGGAGCTCAGGAGATGATGAATGGAAAAGGATTTTGATAACTCCTACAGCACATGTTTTAACACTTTGCAGGGTTCACCACAGACCCAGTCAGCATGTGCTTTACAAGCTTCCTTCTAACCAAATCATATGCAAAAAGCACCCATGTATTTGCTTAGCAAAAATCCTCCCTCTAGTTTTGCAAATAAAAGAGTTGAATTTTTTTCCAGTTTTGCTCTTTCCCTAGCTTCCAAACTCACTCCTGCTTCAAATGGGAGGCAATCCTGTTGTAACAGAAGATTTACAACAATCTCAACAAAGAATGGGCCAAATGTAAAAAGTGCCATGGCACATTTTCCCACTCATTCAGGTCTTCAATGCAAAAAAAAAAGTCTTATCTTTATTTTGGGCTTAATCTGCTTGTGTGTTCTATTTCTGGCTGTGCTACACTGCGAGACAGAATGTCCCACTAGGCTCTGGGTCTGGAGGTGTTCTGAAGAGAGGAGATAAAGGCAATGGCTGCTGAGTGATGGGTGCCAGCACAGGGTGCTCCTCCTGTGAGGTGCCCACAGCCAACTCTGTGACCACTGAACATCAGTGCTGGACAGGGTCTGTGCCACAGGAACTGCACAAAATCCTCCTGCTGCCCTTGGAGCTAGGTCTGAATAAAATCACACTGCAGCTCCCAGCCTGCAGTCAATCACCAAACACCTAAAGCAGGGTTACAACTGGCCTGACAAACTGATGCATGAAATGTTTATTTTTTTACAGAGTTTGCTAGCAGAAACTTTCTTTTGCTATCAACACCCTATTTCTACCTATATCAATAGATATAGATAGACCCTGTGTGGAAAGTCTCCTGGTATTTCCAGAAAAAGACTCAGATGAAATAGCTGGTAGAGCTCATACAGGTATGATATCCTTAAATGAACAGGACAAGTCTGCATTTGCTTCTGGAAAGGTTGAACCATGACCAAACCAGGAATTCCACTCCACTTGGCCAGTGGTGACTTAAGAGCGTGTGTAAACACCATTTGAACAAAACAGAAAGCAGGGAACCCTAGAAGAGTACATTGAATTCACCTCTTTCAGTCCATGCTTCCTCCTAGGAAAAGGCTCTAGAAAAGGAGGGCTTTATGAATCACACTCAGTAAATACTGGAGGTGGAATGTTTTTCTTAAACAAAGATTTCTTTGTAGTTTTATCCTGATAACTCATGCTTAATGCATTTGAAAAAGTACAATAAACATTTCCACAAAGTGCACTGGGTCTTTTTTAAACACATTTCCCAAGTTAATATTTGCTTAATAAATTTCAAACCACTATCCACTTTAACATAGAACTGAAAGTAAAAAAAGGCAGTTTCAACTTTAAAACAACTCAAAAAAAAAAAATCAAAATGCAAGAGAAAGTCACATGTTCTTCATAATTTCAGCACAGAAAATATTTAAACAGAGATTCCTTCTAGATCTCCTAAGTGTGCCTGATCAAAACCTGATTTGTAAATTAGTTTTAAGTACATAGCCGATTTGCTTGATAGAAAAACAAGTTCTGCTCTGACTTTAAATCTGCTACAGGCATGGAAGTTTCTCAACTTTGCTTAAGTGCAGCAGCTTTAACAATCATTTGGGGTAGTCAGGTTTTGGCACTATCAAGAAATATATGTTTTATTTCATTACTGTGGGCTTTTATAATGAAGACTAGAATTGTAAATTATAAAATTATATTTATTTTTAGAAAAACAAAAACCACAAAACCACCCATAAACTATATCAAACAAGAGTACTTTTGCCTTTTAAAAAGTCCATATCACTTAGGATGACTAAGTGCTGTCATTTTCTACCTGTGAGATCTGAGTTGATTCTTTTCTTTTTAAAAAAACCACAACAAAACCGAATAGACATCAGTCCATTATGAGATCAGCTACTCTATTACAAAGTAAATAAGACAACTTTTCTTTCAATCTGTACACAGTACTGGAACAACTTGTCAATACTAATTTCTGATTTTGGAAACAGGCTCTTTACTCAGGGACACTTCATTAAGCTCTAAGGACACTTACAAAGTAACAGACGTGAATGTCAATTCATAAGCAAAAAAAAAAAAGTGCTATGTCACATTTGAACAGGCAGTCAATAAACCTGTCTGCTTTTAAAAGCTAGTAACAAGTAAAATAGGAAAACAGATGGTGTTCTTGTTTACAACAGCAGCTTTTCTAATGCAAATAAACTGTGATTCGTTGATAATCTTTGCAAATGTACCTTAAAAGAAAATTTGCGATTTATACGATCTTCAGGTCCAACTGGAGATATGACATAACTGGGCAATGGGATACTCCCCAGAACAGACTCTTCTCTGCTGTCTGTGGAATAAAGAAATAGAATTTAATTCCCTGCACTGTTCAGTGGGCTAACAATATATTCTCCTTTATGGACACAGAGAAAACAGGCATTAAGCAGAAACAACAGTGGCTCAGACTGAACATCAGGAAAAGCATTTTCCCAAGGACAGAGCAGCAGGGACACAGGCCAAGGGAGAAGCTGTGGCATTCTCCATCCTTGGAGCTTTTCAGTGCCTGACTTGATTAAACCCTGAGCAACCTGGGCTGACTCCTTTCCTGACCCTGCTTTCACCAGGCACTGGAATGGGACACTTCCTGAAGTCCCTTCTGACACAAATTCACTTATGACTCAACACCAATAATACATGCAAGAAAAATGTTTTAGTTTTAAAGAAGAAAAGTTTAGGGTTTGTTTTCTGAATCAGATTGAGTTTTTATTCAGTTTTTCTTTTTTTCTTGGGGGGGTGGGGGTTGGATGCTGCTTTTTAGCTTCAGCCAGAAGAATACACTTGAAGTATTAAGCTTATTGTGCCAAATGAACAGTGACAGGCTGCAAAACATGATGGACCTTCCATTTAGCACTGGACATCCAGGCTAATGGCTATAATTAGGAAATCCCTCTTGCTGCTGGCTCCAAGGGATCGGCAGCAGAAATTCAGCATCTAGAAACATGAACTCCAAGTCTGATATTCTGTAATGCTTTCCAAAAATTGTAGCACATGAAGTATTCAAACTTGAAAATAACCTTATCTAATACCTAGTTTGGGCTAAGATCACATTCAACCTTTTTTTTTTTTTTGGCAGAATCACTGGATTCAGAAGTTCTCACTCTTACTTTGTCCCTTAGATTAAAACTGAACCAATGCCCTGATCTGACCAAAGCACATTCTCAAAAAACTCAGATGTCCAAGTGCAAGCAAGTAGGTACCAGAACACAGACCAGAGATAGGATAAATCTTATTTATTCCAGTCAGATGTTCTGCAAAGTAAACTGTGGCAATCACCAAACATAAATCATGTGAAAAAATATCATACAGCATCCTTTGCTTCCCCTACTCTGGCCTGGAATTTGCTGTGCATTTAAGATATCTGGCCAAGCAATTGTTGCACTGTTCATCTCAGAACAACTAACTTTATCTGAAGAGTTCAGTCAGTTCATGCATTCACCATGATTTGTACAGGTGAACTGTTCATACCAACTCAAAACAGCTAATATTTACTCACCTTTGTAGTAAAACAAACAAAAATCAGCAAGCACAAACCATCGTCTCTTCCATAACCTCATTCCAGAGCTGTCCTGAAATGCAAGAAATGTGGGACACTTTTCATTTAAGGAAAGTTAACAGACACAGTGTTGATCCAGTGAGTAGTTTACCAGGAGTTTAGGTAAACATGATTACTAAGTGCAAAACAAATGGTTTCTATCTTGGCAAAATATTGTGTACTAAGAAAGATGAGAGGCAAAACATCCAGCTATAAAGTAATGAGGGCAGAATAGTCAAACTGCTAATTTTCATTAAGTAATTAAACCTTCATCCCTAACAGCATTCAGATTAACCTTGTACACAACCAATGCTTATTTTATCTGCTCACATTTATCTGCAATAAGGAAACCAAGTGTGTTTCTGGATGGCACAAACTCCAACAAAGATTGCCTGCAGACCAAATGAAAATCACTACACAGCTGTGAAGTATAACCTCACATTTCAGGCAATGATATCCTATAATTCAATCACCATATGTTACCCATGCCTAAAATGTAATTTAATCAAATATTCCTTAGGAAATAAAACAGGATGCATAATGTGCAAATTTTAATGAAGTATAATATAATATGCCTGTGGAGATATATATAGGTATAGATATAGATAACCTTGTCAGAATGAGGATTATTTGCATTGAAATTAATTTCTGAAGCTTTTAAAATTGCCAGACTTTAACCTAGGCAAGTACAACTTGTTCAGCTCAGGTAGGCTTCGATGGGACCAGCAGGATAAAAAGCACCTTCAGATTTTAAGGGTTTACAAGCAAGGTTAGGGGACAGAAGGAAATAGGATATACAACATTGCCCTAGCTATTTCCCTCCTCCTTCCTGCAATCAAATTAACTATGGAAGGACTTTCTCCCCTTCCCATTCTCATGCTATGGCAACACATACTGTGTCTGAGTTCTGATTCTGTCCTGAGAACTAATGGACTTGGGTAGTGGATGTCAACAGAGCTGAGAGTGGAACACAGCAGAATTACATCTCTCCACCCAGGAGGAAGCAGACAGCTGTCAGCTATTTCACTTTCATGTAAAACCATAATTGTAAGCCTCAGATTTCAGCCTTCTCCTGCCCACCCCTAAATCTAGCTGCTGGATCTCTGGTGATAATCCGGTAGACACGGGCTGCCAAATGAGAAGCAGGGGAATTATTCTCATATAACAAACAGCTTTATTTACTTATTACACTCAAAGATGTGTTTCTGTCAGCTTAAGAGTTCAAGACATAGCAGCTGTAGAATTCTGTTCATTGAATGAAATTCTATAACCCAGCCTTTGCTGGCTACTGTCAGCTGGCTACATGGCCCCATTTCCCATAATTTTCGCCCTCCTGCTTCTGGAGAACAAAAAGGCATAGGGACTGGAATGAAGCCTTTGATCAGGGTAGAAGGGCATAACCAAGTAGATAGAATAAGGCCTCCACAGCCAGCCTCAGGCTGACTGTGTTCTGAGGGAGTCAAAGATCAGCCTGACACTGAGCCAGCAGGATAAACCAGGGAAAATAACCACATTTAGATAACAAAGTTACAGCCTCAACACTCAGCTGTGATGGTGATGTCCATTTATCAGTTTACTCTTCTGAATCAAACCCATTTGTAAGCCTTGATTTTCACACTTCCCAAGCACAAATTCCTCACTATGGAAGCCTGTGGAAGTACCCAGCACTGCCCTGTGCCACCAACACTGGAGCTTCTGCTTCCTCAGGTCCTTGGAAGCACTGGCTCCTCCTTGATGCTTGCACTGAATATATGAACAGAACCAGGTGATCAGATGCATACCTGTTTGTGCAGCCAGCCTCTTACTATCACAGGAACATTGGGATTCCTCCTGATGGCTTGTTCCCTCTTTCCAAAGCTGTGAACTTTGCTTCCAGTCTTCACCACCTGCAAAGTATAATGGAGCAGTGGTTTCTAAACCGTACTGAGACTCATTTCATATTACAAACACTCTCACTGCAATAACTTATACTTCATTACACAGCAACAAAGTCCTCATGGCATTTTCAAGGGCAAGTAAACAGGCAATGATATTTACAACAGAGCAAAGTCAATCCTCCACCTTCATCAGGATGGTGTGCCAGCTCCTGCTGAAGAGCAGCAGCACTGCTGGGTCAAGTCAGAAGGCGGAACTGTGGAAATTTTACTATGCTTGGAAAAAATATTTGAGAGCTGCATGCAAGTCTGTGGAAAATATTGCACAAGTCTCTTACACACACAGGACTTTGAGCAGATGAATCTTACTCTTGCTCTTCTTTGTTTGGCTTTTTGGGGGGGTTTTGATGGGGTCTTTTTGGTGGATTTTACTTTTTCCTTCCTGTTTAAATTCAAACAACCTTGATAGCTTAATAAAATGCTTGGACTCTGGCCCTGCAAACAAAAGGAGAAGACAGTGACACTACCAGGGAAGAGACCTACACAGCAGCCAGTGGAAACCACAAGGCCTAGGTAATGATCTGTGTCTTACTGAAACCTCAGTTTTGACCCACATGGACAAAACTATTTCAAACACAAACAAGCAAGGCCTATCCATGTGTGAAAAAGCACGAATCACTCAATGAGTAATCTGCCTGCTCTTTTCCAGCCTCAGCCCAGTTTGCTCCTCCAAGTGCTTCAGGACACACCACCCTTACAGTTGCTGCCAAGTTCTCCAAGAAAAGAGCTGCCCAAATTCTCTCCTACAGTGTCTCTCTTTTTAATCTCTGAGCTTGTCAGGGTACAGATGCTCTGCAGGCAAACAGCAGCTCTGGAAACGAGTATATTCATCACACACAAGGGATAACATCAGAAAAAAATCTCAATGTACTGCTCCTGCCAGTCAGGCAACATCTGGACTAGAAGACTGCTGTCTATAATGTAAATAATTCTAGCAGAATATTATAACTTTAAATGGATTCTGTTGATTGATTGATGAAGGCCAGACTTTACCAACCTGCACTAAATTTCCTGTCTTAATGAAGGGTTAGCTAAAACCAGCATGAAAAAATGCACTTCTTTTTTGGTGCTACAGCATATAAAGCAGTGAGGCAGATTTAACAGGAGTGAGGAGCAGGATTTCTCCAGCACTGCCACCTCCCCAGACAGCTCAGTGAGAGCCTGCACAAGACCCAGCAGCACCCAGGGCACCACAGGTGCTCACCTGAGGAAAAAGCCCATACTTGTCCCCCTGTCCAGGGCTGCTGGCACAAACTCAGCAGGGCAGGCTGTAGGACAGGGTTCTGAGGAGGTGCCCCTGCCATCCAGCTGGCAAAAGCCAGTTCATAGAAGAAGTCAGGTCAGGATGGCATCACCACATCTCCCAGGCTTTGTCTCTGCCAGACCTGCAGCCCACAGGCTGCAGAGCACTGGCTGTGGGCGAACACAGCCATGTAAGGGCTTTTGTAAAGAAAAATGAGAAGTAAACAAGACAATTGAGTTTTTAAAAATTGCTGCCAAATGTTGAGATACAACAGCTACATGAAAAGGGTGATGAAAAATAATGAGGCCCAAATTTGCTAAAGCTCTAAAAGTCAAAAATCTATTTTTATTTTGTTTTTACTTTATCTGTACTTTGCAGCTGAACATAAATCAATTTACAAAATGTACAGAATTTAGTTTCCTAATCTTTCTCTCATGTAGATCTTTGGAAGGGTGAAGGAACTGAGGAGCAGTTGAAGTGCAGCTTATCTAGCCTTACAGCAGCATTTAAATTTGGGGGTTTTTTTAATCAGATATTTTAATCAAGCACTTTCTCTGATCTTAATAATTTTAAAATGCAGACCACAATGTAGAAAAATCATCCTTGGACTTGGTCAAAAGACCAAATAATATCTACGGCACAGGAGTAGGAAAATTTGTCCAAAGGCTGTGTATTATATGTCAATCCAATACCCATAATGGAAACAAAAGGATCATTTTATGGTGCTTTATGTAATTAAAATTCTCTTTTAATCTTCAGTATTGATTATCTCATTCTGCTCTGGAATAAAACAAAGCACAACAGATACTGCAAAGCATAACAGATACTTGGTCACACCTTGTTTCCACTAGCTATACTAATTGGTTTAAAAGAAAAGGTGTATTTTTAAACTATTTCTCTGCACTGCAGTAGTCTGTTCCTAACTTGAATTCTTCTGATATCATTGGCAGAAGTTTAAAAATGCAAGTCAGCACAGCTGTCTGTATCACTGAAGACACAAAAGTCACTTTTGACTTCAGTGCATTTGTTATGCTGACTTGCTTGTGAATGACTGCTGAGTTTTCGCAACAAAACTCAAAAATGTCAAAAGCCAAAATTTTCAAATCCCTTTCCATCACTGCCTCATCTTATTTCTTACAGTAGCTTGTAGCTGAGGAGGAAAGTTGCTAACATATTATGTAATTTTTTTCTTTCTTTGAAACAGGACAAACAAAAAAAGTACAGACAGGCTCTCTTTTTTGAACGGATTTTTAAAATAGTAAACAGGAAGACTGCATTTTGGTCAAAATATGCAAATATATATGCATAATAAAACATGGAACTTTCAACCTAGAAGGAATTTTTAAAAAGTCAACCCATAAAAAGCCACCTGTTTAAGTCAAACTCTTCAAGTCAAAAAATCTCAGTGTTTCAGTTAGAAATGAACTTATGAATCCTTTCAGTATTCTCCAAGAAAATGAGATATTAATCTTTATTTTTCAGATAGAAAAATCTGCAACTCTCCAAAAAAATCACCAAACTTTGAGCATTCCCATGCAGTGGCTGTGAACTGGACCCTGTGCTGCACTCCAGCTCCAGACAGCCCCAGAGCTGGCACATCACATTCCTGTCACCACTGCTTGCTCCAGCTGCTAGACACATTCTTTACTTGGATTCCTCACCAGTTTACCTCAGAGAAATACCAGCAACTACCAGTGTCATCAACAATTCAATCACTTCTGTTATGCAGAACCCATCCAACATGCTCTCAAAATGCAGATAGTAAATACATTCCCTACAGTCCTTTCATTTTTGACTTGGCCGAAGTCCTGTGTGGCACAGTAACATTTACAAACTTTCATTTACATCATGAGATGTTTCAACAGACTAAATTCCAAATGTACCTTACTGTCAAACTGAAGCAGACCCTTATTCCTCCATAACCTTAATTATTAATCAATATAAATGGCTTTTAATATGGTTAATCATGTAATTGAACTGGCTATGAACAAGATCTTTGGGACAGAGAATAATTGCAGTTTATCAAAATGCCCTTTTGCTTTTTATTCCTTCAACCTCATACCTCTCAAATGTCAAAGAGTAGGATAGACTGCATTGGTCTCAAGTCTTTCAATTACTTACTCAGACAGTTCCTACATATTGATGTACTGGCCCCAAATGTGCACAGCTCTATGGAAAAAAAGGCTGAACTTGGCCAGGATTCCAGCACTATGCATACACCATTCTGTGATGGCATTTGCAGGACCACATTTTAGAAACATTAAAAAAAAAAATATTAGCCATGGCTAAGTAGAGAGCATGAACATGATTGTGCTTCATGTCTGCATCTGAGAACACACTCTTTGAAAGAATGATTAGGAATTCAGGGAAGAAAACATTTAGAAATAGATGGAAGGACTTTAAAATCTATTCTCAACCTCCTAAAAGTCAATCACAAAGCAGAGGACACAGGTCATTTTACAGCCTTTTTTCTCACTACTAGTTCACTTGAAATAAGTTTTGTGTTAGACTGTGAAGGAATTCAACAGATCTTCTGACTGTACAAAACAAGAGAAGTGATTTCAAGCCTGTTAACACATGCAATGATGAAACACAGCATATGTAGGAAAGATGTTGGTTCATCTTAAGGACCCAAAGTAGAATGGATCTTATAAAAACAAACTTGGTGGAGAAGCAAAGTGCTGGCAAAGCCTCTGTGAGAGCTTTATTCTAAGTCTAAAGCTGCCATGTGTTAAAAAATCCACACCTGGGTGCCTGCCAGAAGCATGCACAGCCACCCTTACAGTGGACTGCAAACAGAATAGAAAGAGAGACCAAAACCAGATCAACCAAAGCCTTGGGAGGTGGTTCTGGATATTCTCTGAGCTGTGATGAAGAAAGCATTACCCTCCTGTTCAGCTGTGTGGTTCTGACACGCCCCCAGCATGGGGGTGGCTGGGAATGGAATCCAGTCCCCGTTTTTGGTCTCTGCTGGATCAGTGCAAGCAGGTGACAGAGGGAAGCAGCAGGAGCAGGGCTCAGAGGATGCACACGTTTTGGCAGAAGTGTGATCCTGGCCAAGTTAAGTCTAACTGTGTCACTGGAGAACTCCCCAGCTCAAAGCACCCTATCAGGTCCCCAGTAAGTTTTTGTTGGTTTAAAGAGGGGAAAAAATGAGCTTTCTGCCTCTAATGCAGGCTTTAAAAAATCAGAGTTAGCAGGATAAATACAGTAAAAACAAATGCCGACATACTTTGGTAAATTCAACTCTTCAAACATCAAAAAGAAGTGTTTCAAATAATTCAAGCAACCTACTAAGCTTACTGTTTGCAGTGATAACTTCATCTAGCACTTTAAAGATAAATGCATTCTTGAGATATGATACGTTACAATCTTTGTGTTGGTTCAATAACTTATACATTGTAGGTTTTAAAATAATTTAAAAAAAATTAATTTTCAGCTTCTCATGAAATTGTATCACCTCCTGTACTCAAGCATATCAAAATATTAGTAAAAGATTTTAAGTATTCCAACTAAACAAAAGGTCTTTGCAATCAATATGGTGAAGTCCTTAAACTCAGTTACATAAAAGGCTGCCCACTTTTGCATTTAAAAAAAAAACTGAGAAGTTTAAGAACTGCAGTCAAAGTTAAGAAAATTATCTCTGCTAATTCTTTCAATATTGCTCTATCCCTTTTATCCACCCACTACCATTCTCACTGTTCTGTAATTTACTGTAAGGTCAAAGAAGTATTAAAATAGATGGTGACACTTCAAGTACAGCACTTTATTATACTGTGTTCAATAATGGACACAGGTCCTTTGTCAATGACAAGGAATGGACTTTTCTATTATTAAACATTATGTGTGTGAACTTGGTGCCTGCACTACTTGTGCAATGCAGTGAGGGCAGAAAAGGATTTAATTGTTACTAGGAGGAGGAAAGGCAGTAAGATTTCATGAAAAAATAAGAACTGCAAATTCCTGGTATCATGCATCACTTCTGGCCATATACACTGGACCACCAAAACACTTGCTCAAATACTAATATTACATATATTTACTTCCACTTGTAAGTCTCAAACTTTCTGTGTCCCAATAATCACAATGTAAGAGGTCACCATTCAATGCTGTCATGTGGGTATACAGTGCTGTCAAAAGGTTTGTGTCTGAGTAGAAGATATTACCTCTTCTCTGAGGTCCTACTAGGCTTCTAGCTAAATCCACAGCCCTACTGAAATCAGCATAAGAACACTGGATTTAAAAATTAGTGAAGTTGTGATCAACAAGCTGAAAAAAATAGCTTTTTCCTTTACCTTAGAGCCGGGTTTTGTATCAACAGCAGCCGTAGTTACTGCAGTGGACGTTTCACTGACCATGCTTGAAGGCCTTTGGTTTACTTGTTGGTTGGACATAGATGAATTCTGTCTAGAAAGCAAACAAAACCAGATAATCTAAAGCACATAGTTTCAAACATTCAGTGTGGCCTTTTTATGTTTAAAATTCACAGTGTGCAAATGAATGACAAGTTAGTCAAATATTTCCCATGCATCTGCAGGTTCCTTTGCGCCACTCCTGTGATTTAGATTTCAAGTCTTTCCCAAGCAGTGACATCTGATGATTGGTATTTGTCTATGCATCAGGAAGGAGAAACCTGCCAAATTGTCTGCAAACCCAAGAGAGGATCAAGATCTAACAAGGATTGCAGGAAGAGAGAAAATAAGGCCTATGCAGTGCAAACCAAACTGTGCCCAATTTAGAGAATTGGCCAAACATGTGAAAGAGCCAGTACTGGGAGAAAAGGACAGGAATCAGCACTTGGCAATAACAGGCTTTTTATTTAAAATCAAATTGAGTCTTGACTGCTGTTAGATCTTTCACTAACTTAATGCTGTATCTTTGAATCTGCCCAAAATATGATTCATAGCACAATATGAATTATTAAAATACCTTTTAAGCAAAATGGTGCAATTCAAGGCAGATAGTTGTTAGAAATGTATAATTTCTGAGTCATCCTAAGATTCCAGAAATCCTGATAACTAGCTCAGATAGCCACTTAAGGCATAAGTGAGGTCAATCCTACCAGAAGAACCTGTTCAACAAGTAAGAATTCAGTACAGCCACCCAGATGAAGAATTGAGAGGATAGATAGAAGGGCAAAATAAAATCTCTGTGAAGAGAAGCTTCAGCAGCCAAACTCGACACCAGCATCAAATGAAATTAAAACCACAGGTGGCATTTTCAAAAATCATTAACAACATAATTTAGCAAATAACAAGTGGCAATAGAGTCACATCAGAAAAGAAAACACAACAAAACAAACAATTAACAACACCTGATTTTCCTTTTCCCAGTCACCAAAGCCATTTACTAGAAAAACCAAAAATGGTATACAAGCTACACCAACCGTGGTTGCTGCTACCACTGAAATCCAGATCTGAGCACAACAGAGAACAGAATAATTCTGAGTTAGCACAGAATTATAAATAATTCTGAGTTATCATGAGAACAGAGAAGAGTCTGTGATTTTAGTAGCTCAACACAAGGTTTAATAAAGGACAAAATATTTGCCACCACTCTTCCTCAGTTACAACCTGAACAATTATCTGTTCAAAAGCTTGGATAGGTGGTTTTTCCATATTTTTCCATTTGTGACCAGGGTTTCAATGAAGCTTGCAAGTAAGTAATACAAGTTAGGTCCCATTTTATTTATATCTTGCATATCTGACATAAATTCCTTCTTCCTAGATTTTATATATAACCTCAGGTCCAAGATATAAGAACAACCTACAGCAAGCCCCTAAAATTCCTGGCCATCCTTTAAAGCAAGGGAACTTCATCATGTCAGTTTGAGTCAATTTGCCCCACCTCTTATGGACCAGCTACCCTGGTTCAGCATTTAATCACCTTTTAACCCAGTCTCTGCAAAATGCAGATTAAAAAACTTCCCATACATGACACTGCCTAACTAAGCTATTCCTGTTGATGAAAATGAAAAATACAATTTAAATTTTGACAAATTGGAATTAATCTTTCCAATAAAAAATTAATGAAGAAGAAATAACCCCAGAGGAATGGTTTTAACTTAATATTTCTACTCTGATTTAACAGATTTTCTCTATTTGCAAAAATGCTGTTTCACAGCAGGTTAAACATACTGCACTTAAAAAAAAATAGAAGAATTACAGAGCAAAATAAGCTATATGTTTAACAAGACCATCATAAGAAAATCATAATACAATACAGAATGATAAAAATGCAATTTCTAAGCATTTACTATGCAATCATAGAGTGATTTCTCTTCCACTTGCTACTACAAGTGATCACTGCCAAGAAACCAGGCTTTCTCTTTCTAGTACTATCAAATTAATGACGAACTTCAAATTCACAAGAAGAAAAATGCTCTTTAAAAAATGTGAGGTAGTTGCCATGGAAGAATTCAAATAGCAAGCAAAAGACACATTAAGTCCATTGAAAGAGAAAGCACATTGTTATTCTCCTATAAAAAGTTCAGCAGCAAACCTGGTGATGCAAACTTGCTGCACCCAATATTTAACAGAAAACACAAAACAATACTGCAAATTAATTTCAGTATTTGTATATAGTATTTCAAGGATACAATAGGATTTTTGCATGAAATCAGAACATAAAACTCAGGTATTCAAGTCTTTTAACAGCTAATCAATATTCTCAGTGTTTTTAAAAGCAAGTAAAAAACAACAGAACATGCAGAATTACCTGAAACATCCTGGCCTGTTAAGGGAATTAACATTGTCCTAATAATATTTACAGATTCAACTTCAAAAATAAGTGACTACAGCACTGACTCTGTGCATTCAGAAACATTAGTTCAAAGCTTCTGTTACCAAACATGTTTGATAATATCTGTTATCCAAGGTACCACATTCTGTCTTCGTAGCGATGCTGTTTTACTATTTTCAGGCTAGTTTTTTACTGCCTCCCACAAGTGTGTGAATACACACACAGAATTGCAGTGTGTCCATTTGGAGCTCCAATACTGTGTAAATATTTTTAAGTACTTGAAAATAACACTCTATATAATATCTCCTGTCAAGCAACTCCCTGCTCTACCTAAACATTGCTAGTATGTCTCCAGAAGCCATATTTACCAGCTGAAAAAATTACATAGCCAACATTGGGGTTATTAAAAAACCCTAACACTGAAGAAGAACAATAAAAAACAATGACTACACCAGTAGCCCATATTGAAAATGCAATACTCACGAGAGACCATAAAAATCAGTCGACTTGGAAGATCCACATCCATACCAGCAACTTAAAAAGTTTATTTGTTGGAATCAGACACGATGCAATAACATTGTGTCAATGTAGTTTTATTACTAATAAATTTCCTAATCAGCTTGATTAAAAAAAAAACAATCCTCCTGGTGTTTCTATAGATGTAAACAAGGTAGATACTTATTTTAGGGTTGTTTGGGTCTCCTCTTTCCTCTCCACCTGGTATTTTTGCTGCTATAGTAACCAAATGCAATAGATAAAATAAGATGGCTCTCTCCCCAGAGGTGATACACAGGTTTTATCAGACACACAAAAAAAGAGGATAGCACTCATTGCATTAAGCACACTATATTTTCCCCCCCTATGTCTACATTTATGTTCAAGTCTTGTATTTTTTTAAAGTACTATCTTCTCATTTGCAAACACACTCCTATAACAAATATTATACAGCTCCTAATAAACAACTAGTAATGTTTAACATTAGTCACATGGCTGCATGTGCCTGATTCTTCCTTTCTGTCCCCAATTACTTAAAGAACTGTTATTTAACAAAGACACGAGAGGAGAAATCTAAACATGATATACAGCTATCCTCAGTAATTCCATCATAGCTTGTTTTCAGAGAAATGCATGTGTAAACAACAAACACCTGTCTAGCAGACTTATCATTAATTCTCAGTTCTCCATCAGTTGTTTAAGAAAGGTCTGTTTGTGGATTAAGGGTTCACTAAAAAGATGAAAGCAAAGCACAAAGGTCAAGAAGCAGTTGTGAATTGGAGGGGCTTCCCATACAGCAAGATGCTCAGATTATTTCAATGTGATCCTAAGAACTGTGAGGTGAACAAGTCAAAAGAAAATAAAAATTATTCTAGACAAAAACTGAAATGCTGGCAGAAACAGGTAGAAAAATAAACTTCAAATACAAACAACCATGATGTGAAACTGAATTCAGTGCCAACAACAGAAAAGTAATTCAGAGGAGGAAGAAATAAAAACCACCTCTGCAGCTTTTATCAAAACAACATTGCCAAGGAAAGGTTATTTTTAAATATCAGCTCAATGAGTAACAGCAGCCAAAGAACATTAAGAATTATTAGTAAAGGGAGAAGGAAAAGTACAATTAAATTATTATAACAAACAATGAGCTCATGAGCTGAATCTTGCAGTCACCTATGACCAACCATTCCATGAGAGAAAAAAAGAAACCTAAAAGTGACATGCAGAAAAGCTGGCTCTCAAGCAGAGCTAGTGAAGGATACAGTACACACACCCCATACACCAAGTGAGCAAAACTGCTAAGCTTGGAAAAAGAGCACAAGGTAGGGATTTGATAGCGGTCCCACTATCAAATCCCACTATTTGATAGTGGTCCCAGCACAGAATGTTTTAGGAAATAAGGAATTACTAATTCACTATTTAAAAGAAAAAAGAAATCTAAATTAGAACACCTTTAGGAAGAAGGAACAGTGTAAGGATCAAAAGATAATGTAATTCAAAAGTTACAGGTTCCAGCTACAATGGAGTTGAGAAAATCAAATTTCAGCTTGAAAAGCAAAATTGATGTGATATTGTTTAAACACCTTGGGGAAATACTAGTGAAATACAGTCCCAGCCTTTTACTGAAAGTGTCCAGTTTTTATTTGATCAAGTGAATCAAGGGCATTTGGTTCACAACTGAGTCATAATCAAGCTAGGATTACATCACTCCTTGGTGCAATTTTCCAAAACTTGTTTCCAAATCTTCTTGCCAGAAGACTGCTTCCAGGATGAGCAATGGCCAGAGCAGTCCCCACATTCATCATTTCTACACAACTGTAAATTACTTTTCTGATGTAAAATGTGTCCTTTTAAATAGATATGTCTGCTGCAGCCTGAACAAGTTTGTGCTCACTTTTCCCCACTAGCTCCCAGTCAACATCTGTTGACAAGCCCTTGGCCCTAATCTTAAATTAAAATCAACCAGTCAGTAACAAATCATGTCACAACAGCGCTACAGAACAAATCTCCTTTTATGAAACCCTTAAGAGTGCTTACTGCCTCAGACAGGGTTCTCCAGCTACAGGAAAAAGTAGTCTTGGTCAAAAGATGCGAAAAAATGGAAAGGTTCCATAGACCATGCCAACCCAGA